AAGAACGCCTTAGCTTCAGCTCCTGTGTTAACATGTCCTGACTTCAGTCGACCATTCCAAGTGCAGACAGACGCGTCAGCATACGGAATAGGTGGTGTTCTTTCCCAAATTTTCGAAGATGGCGAACATGTGATCTGTTACGTGAGCCGATCCCTGACACGTCAAGAACGTAACTATAGTACGGTAGAACGGGAATGTCTGGCTGTTCTCTTTTCGATCGAAAAACTACGTCCATATCTTGAGGGCTATGAATTTTCTGTTATAACGGACCACCATAGTTTGGTATGGCTCCATAATTTGAGGGAACCTAAGGGTCGTATAGCTCGTTGGTTGCTACGCTTACAGCAATTCAATTTCAAGATTTACCATCGGAAAGGCCGTGATAACGTAGTGGCAGATGCATTATCACGAGCTGTGCCAGAAATTAATGCCATCAACGTTTCGAGCGAAGTAAACCCATCTTCAGATAGTTGGTATCTCCGTATGGTTCAGCAAGTTAAGGAAAGTCCTCTGAAGTTTCCACAATGGCGAGTAGTCGATGACAAACTTTTCAAGTATGTTTATTGTCCTTATCCTGGTTTGCGAGATACGACGGACTATTGGAAAGAGGTTGTTCCGAAGGAGAATAAGAAGAAAATTATTAGGGAAAATCATGATGAAACCGTGGCTTGTCATGCTGGTGTTTTTAAGACGTTTGAAAGGGTGAAGGAACGCTACTATTGGCCAAAAATGCGAGCTGATGTCGCCGCCTATGTTAGGAAATGTCAAACTTGTAACCGACATAAACCGGAGCTGCAACGTCCTGCCGGTTATATGGGTAAACATCCTGAACCAACTGTTCCTTGGCAGATGATCTCTGTAGATCTCGTTGGTCCCTTGCCTCGCTCAAAAGAAGGATATCGGTTTATCTATGTGGTCACAGATACGTTCAGCAAATTTTCTTTGTTTTTCCCTTTAAGATCAGCTACAGCCATTGCAGTTACACGTATAACTGAAGAGCATGTTTTTCTGATGTTCGGTTGTCCTCAAATCTTAATATGCGATAATGGAGTACAGTTTCAGTCCAATGCTTTCAAGAAGTTATGTGAGAATTATCATGTCCACATTAGATTCACGCCTCTGTATCACCCTCAGGCAAACCCAGTTGAAAGAGTCAACCGTGTTCTTAAAGCAATGCTGTCTTGTTACGTTGAAGAAAATCATCGCTTATGGGCTGAGTTGTTACCGAAGGTTGGCTGTGCAATTCGAACTTCCGTTCATGAGGCTACAGGTTTGACACCATTTTTTGTTAATTTCGGGCGTGAACATAAACCCAGTGGAAATAATTATGAACATCCACTTGCCATTATGGACAACGATCCTAGGCCTCGAAGAGCAGTAGAGGAATTCAAAAACATCTATAGCGATGTTCGGAAACGTCTTGATGATGCTCATTCTAAGTCCAAAAAGCGCTATAACCTTAGGCGTAGGCCGGTTAGTTATTCGGTTGGTGATTCGGTCTATGTGAAAAACCATGTGCTTTCTGATGCTACTAATTATTTTACGGCTAAGTTTGCACCAAATTATAAAGGTCCTTTTATTATTAAAAAGAAGTTATCTCCAGTGACATACGAAGTAGTCGATAGTAATGATAAATCTCGAGGTACTTGGCATGTACAAGATTTCAAGTCTCATCCACCTGATCCGACTTCCGAGGATGAAGATTTTCTCGATTCCAATGTAGATCCGTAACATTCAGTAGGCAGTATTTTCGACAAATTATCTTGTTGAGATTTACAGGTAAATCTCTTCGGGGTAGAGGGGGAGTGTTACACTTCGTTTTTGCCGAACGAAAATACTGCACTGATAGCACATCGAAATTGTTTTGTTTACGTACTTTTCTCTCAGCTTTTCATTTGTTTATTCATCAGTTGTCGTTGATATATCCTATTTGCAATCTCAAATAGTTTATACAGTTTATTGTCGTAAATCAGTTCTCTTATTTAGCTCCTGAAAACAAAATAGTCTCTCGAGTTTCTATTAGACAAGGTCTGTTGTCAGTGCTTACCGTGGTTCGCGATTCTGGTTTCGAATATTTATTCACGCTGTTGTTTTTGTGGGATGATAGTCAGTCTTCTTCGATATGTTCGAGCGCACGGATATTCAACAGTTTAGCGAGGATCATTTCACTATTTTAGTTATCAGTCGATTTATCATATTGTGCTCGTTGTTTACATTTTCAGTCAATAATATTGAGCGAGGTATCACTGTCAGAATCTTTATCACTGTCAGATTGTTGACTACTGACAGTTGACCGATATTTGCGAGCTGCTCTGCTTTATTTTGAAAGACAATGTCATTATTTTTATGATTCTCCGTACTTTTAGCAGTTGCTAACATCTGTCATTGACAGCAGTTCATTTTTCATCGATTTTTGAATGGCCCTCAAAATTGATTGATTATGGAAGGACTAAGCTCAGCATGATGTCGGGATTTTTGTCAAAATAGTGATTTGTTGTTAAATCGGATAGTAGGTGTGATAACCCTAGTGTTTATGTCTCGTTCGATGAAGTCGAGCATCCATCGAAAAAGAAGAAGATTGCGTCATGGGTCGACGTAATTCCGAGGTCATGTCTGCGCATGTCTCCGTTTGAATATTGTGGTCGTGGCAAAACGGCTTTAACCGCCGAAGAATCAATTTCCACGAAAACTAAATGGAAAATGGTTAACATTCACTAATATCGGGTAAATTAGGTATTTTCTTGTTGGAGCTAGGATATTCTCTCATCTTTCTGTGGTGGTGAAATACCATCTACAGTGTGTTCGCGGGAAAATCTCCCACCAACACTTTCCTGAGGTATGGGGCGTTTTTGAGATAAAGACCGATCTTCCGGTTGAAGGACGGCCCATCATCTTCACGAGATATCTCGCCATTTTTTTCCTGGAGAAGGTTGATCCAACTCGTGTGACAAGTAAGCCAGAGATTCGATTTCGCATTGTACATATTTTGATTTATTCTTTCTCCATTAGTGTTGGGATTAATTCGATTCGAATTCTCATTTCGTGGTGACCAATTTTGGTTTTGGTACCATACCTCAAATTGGAGGGATTTAAGGCCGAAAGCCACGAGGCTGACATCAGCCGATCAAGAACCCGACCACCATCACATCAGGGTTCTTATTCTCCTGGAATTATCTCCTGGCTTCCGATCTGCGTCATCCACCGGTTTGGCCCTTTTTTTTTTTTGCAAGCCCCAAAGGAGAGCCTGCTGATGAACAAGCAACCCTAAGAATCCCCTGTATAGTTGCTGAGGAGTAAACAGCTCTTCGAGTCCACCCTGTTTGGACCCTGTATGGATCCGGTATGCACCCTGTAGCGTCACTCTCTGTCCTGTACGCTCAACACCCTGTATATGAACGACGTGGCCGCCTACACCCTGTACGCGACAGCTAGACACCACCGAGGAACATAATCGCCTGTCACCTTCAATTTTGGTGAGTCTGTTCCATATTAGTACCCGTTTGGAAGTGGAAAACTACCACCAAATACCGCTACCACTTAGAAGGGTTGAAAATTACCGTTTATGCTGAGTTATAAGTAAAATACCCCAAATTGTACCATTTATTAGTATTATCAAGTCATTCATATATTGGAAACCAACGTGCACTGCGGTATTGCTTTATCACCTTGTCTATATATATATCTGTTATTCCCATTTTTGTTATAAATTGATTATAAGGGATGTACTGAAGAGTTGATTTCAGACAGTCCCTAGTTGTGATATAAAATCTTGCTAATTGATGGTTTTCATTGAGATCAAGGCAAAATTCTAGTGGAATTTGTATTTTTCAAGTTTTCTTATTATTAAATCTATATATTCACCCTACTTTTGGCATTTAACGTACCCACCCCATTGTCCCGCTGAACTACCAGTGTTTGGTTTCTACAGTCTCAAACTAGGCACTTAAAACACTATATTTTGTAGCAAAACTTTTGAGAATAATTAAAACACCAAGTAAATCTCAGGCAGGTTAACAGCCAACTCAGGGGTACAATCATAACTAAATTTTATCACTTATTACCCCCCTGAAATTTGCAAGGTTACACTCTCTAGAATGAAGATGCAAGTCAATGTCAGTATTTTCTGAGCCACAAATAAGGGTTGACATGGTTCTCTGAATTTAGCTTTACTAAGGTATCTAACCGCCCTCTTTTGTAAAATGAACACAATTCAGATGAGATGACTCTCACTTCAAAACAACCAGAAGATAATTTTTTGCATAAATTTGTAATGTGGGTGTTGAATGAGAGACTGCGTAATCCACATAGAGCCCTAAAAACTTAGACGAGGATTGAGTACAAATTCTTGAGTTTTCCAGAAGTATATCATTAAGAGTGCACTTGAACGTCAAAATACATGTTTTAGAAATATTGAATGATAATTTATTCGCATCACACCAATTTTTTACTTCCAATATATCTTCAGCGACATAGTTACTCAGTTCGTCATTATTGTTGCTATGCCACAGTATTGTGGTAAATGTTAACAGCTTCCGTCCGTTGAGATTGTTTAACGGCCAGCGGCCGTTAACTGTTCCATAACATGAACAAAAACAACATTTTTTCTGTAGAATTACGAGATGAGTGGTTTGTTCTTTCTTCGGAATCCAAATGGAATTACGAAAGGTCTTGAACGACACACGGCCGATATGCAAATAACGGATTCGATTGTTATAATACAATATTCAACATTATCCGTGGTTTGCCACATATCGGCCTTGTGACGTTAATAACTTAATTATCGGTCAAAAGGAAGTTTCATCGTGGTCAGTCTAAATTAGCGTGGTATTTTCCTGAATTTGCTATCGATTGTCAAATTTCAAATCCATCAATTTGAATTCAATAACCAACAAACTATGAGACACAATTGTGAAAATTATAGTTAGGTACCTATACCTAATTATATTCTAGTTTTTTGGAAAAACGTGTGACTAATCAATGATGTCATTTATTTTTTACAGGGGACGAACGACCGAACATAAAGACCGAATCGAGGTAACAGGAACCTAACACCATGTCTTTCAAAGATCATCTCGAAATGATAGGGCTCAATGAGTCACCTTCGAAGAAAGCCAAATTCTGGCAGTCCTTCGTCAGATCCCTCAAAGGTAAGAAGCAAAACATATAGCCTTTTCAGCGTTTAGTGTAGTCTCCTTGCTTGCCTTTCAGAATCAGCTCTGAAGTAGTTAGATTATGAAGTATCTGGAGTAATATTGTGAGAATATCACAAAAGTGAAATAAGCTCATGTCACGATAATGGGAGTAATATGACTATAATGATTGTGTGATTTTCTTGAAAGGTATATAACATAACTGAAACAAGCTCATAACAACCACCTACACGTCACAATAATGCGACCTTGAGTATGTCAAACTGACACTCTCTCTAGTTAATCAATATTGGTAGGTACATATATCTCAATTAATCATTCCAGAATTACGTCATTTGACAGGTTGCTGAGGGGCAAACATTGTATTTTGTCAAGATCTGTCATAGAAAACCAGAATTAGTGGGATCGTTTTCCTTGGAATCCGAGTTGGAACCAGAGAGAATTTCATGATTTTGTTTGGTGAAACTGTTATTATATTGTGGATGTGGCAGAGGGACGGCCTGGGCAATGCTCATCAAAGGTAACCTAACAGATAGTTTGTGTGCCCCTCAAGAAACCATGTCAAAATCACGTGTTCTAGAATGATCAATACCTATATTTATTATGATACCCTATTGACCTATTACCTATTTTATGCCTTCACAATATAAAAAAATCGAGCAAGTGTTCTGAATGTGTTACCAGAGTACAATATTCTGGATTATCAACAATATTCAACCCATTTGACAGTCAATTAATTTCATGTGTCTCACACATACGTTTCTTTCTTCGTTGGCCGAAGGATCTCGATGGAAGTCGATAGCCAGTTCGAGTGTTTAGAAAAAATAGACAAAATGCATGTTAGAATGGAATCACACCACTTGCAACAACTCAGAATAGAATATCTGGAAGAAATAAAGAGAGCTAGATCGGAAAATCGAACAATAATATACCTAGATGAGACATGGTAACATGGTATGACACCCATGACACACCAAGTAAAGGATGGACTGATAAATCAAAAAAATGTGACACTAAAGCTCCGTCCAATGAAAGTAGAAGAATAACAATTCTACATGCGGGGTCGGAAGACGGCTGGGTACCAAACTGTTTATTTTTGGCAGCCAAAAACATTTCGGATTCCAGCTCTACTGTGATACAACTGCTGAAGTTTTTGAGGACTGGTTTCAGAACCGTTACCGAATTTACCACCAGAGAGCAGTATATTGTGATAGATAATGCATCCTACCATAGTGCCAAGTTTCACCAGCAGAAAGAAGGAAATACAAGACTTTTTGACCGAACGTGACATATATTTCCATGAGAGTTCTAATGTTAAGCAATTGTTAAAGGTTTCGAAATGCTACAATTTCGAAAAAGAATACGTTTGCGATATTATTGCAGGGGTAGCATGTCATGAAATAATTCGGCTTTCGCCATATTATACTGCATTTTCAATCCGATCGAGTTGATATGGCATAAACTTAAATCTAATAAACGCGCGCACACTAATACGACAACTTTGACAACTAGTGTGATAGTACTGATAAAAACAGAAGTCGAAAATGTTACCGTTGAGATCTGGAGGAACCGTACTGAACACGTTGAAAAAATTTGTTAAGCTCTCATCGTTCTAAGTATATAAATATCCTAGAACCTATAAAGGAAATTATTATTAATTTGGAAGATAGTAGTGATAGCGAAATTGATTCAGAGTAAGATATGGTGTGTCGTATTTTGTTCTTAAATGTTAGAATTATATACTGTTGAAATATAGCATTAGCACAAATTTTTGTTTGTTTATTCTATCCTCAACCATCTCTATATATACATTGAAATAAGTGCAAATATTTCAAACACTAAGGAAGCTCGACGTGTACTATCGAATGGCACTAATAAAAAAAATTCAGGGATCAAAATGAAATTTGAGGTTAGACCCCTTTTTTCACCCAAACTTCTACCATGTAGCAAATCTGACGTCACCTCTGTTCAAATTTCCATGCGGTAGGCACAATATCGCGGAGTTCAATCATTTAAATCATTTCAAAGTGGCGTACTTGATTTTTTTCACGTATTTTGTTAAATTTTTAGGATGAAAATTCTCGTTAATTAGAAGAATTACAAAAAATCTGAGATCATTGGAATATTTCTTGGACTATATCATATTGATGCGCTGAAAATGTGCATTTATTTCAAAAACACCATGTATAATCTTTATTTCGACACATTCTGTGATACTGTCAGTTATCAAGTTATGCAGAGATAGTGTGTTTTCATCAGGTATAGTGCGGTCCTGCACGGTAAATCAGAAAAGTCAAGCCATCTGAGGTCAGGTGTTTACTATAGATCTTGAGAAGAACTATACATATACATATATAACGAAGAACATATACTACTAGGTATTATAAAGGGATAAATTAGATATCAGTTTCTAAGAACCCAACCTTTCATCTGAGGAATCAGATGTTGATGGAATGACTACCTCTTTTTCGAATTCCGGCGTTTTCCAGTGTGGCCATATTATGTACCAAGAGTTTTCCCAGTTGTCAGTAGACTAAAAGCGGCTGATGAAGCCTAGTGAGCCGAGAGCACTGTCTCCCTAACAAATAGTGATGTCGAGCAAAGATGAAGTACTTCTCTAGTCTCGTCTCGGTGATACGAGAAAAAATCTCTCGAAAGACAACCAGCCAACGAGGGAGGCTTTTCTCGCGTCTTGTCACAGGTCGTCTCGTCTCGTCACGTCATGTCTCGTCTCGTCGCGTCGCGTCAAGTCTCGTCTCGTCACACCTCCATTCGAAGCTTCCATCTGTGAAGTTCAGCCGGTATTACTCATATTGATGAAAATATGCAAGGGAAGTAGATCAAGCATAGCTCTCACTGCTGCAGTAGGGCTCATACCCATTGCCCCTGTGATCACAAAACACGCGGGTTTCCTTCAGCTCATATTGTGCTGTTCAGAGGTTTCTAATACCACGTTCATAACCTGAATTCTTGTGTGATAAGCTCTGTCTCCTGATTGAGGTTGAACAACCTGTTCACCAAGCCCTTTCTTGGAATTCCTAGACCCGAATGTGATTATTCGAAGATGTTGTGCCTTGTGTCTCAAACGTCCATTAAGATACCTAGGTACTGCTTTCTAAGAGAATAGTGGTCCGTTAGTATTCGAGTTACAATCCTGGATATCAGCATTCAAAGCAAGAAATTGTTTGTTCATTATCATTTTTATGCTTCTGTGACCTCACACACAACCCCAATATTGTTTATTGCCGTTTTCATGTCAGGATTCCTATTGGGACAATTTTTCAGGGAATCCCTAAAAACTCCTTGCATGTGCTCAGACAAGGAAGTTCGCATGTTTTTCATGATAGATATGACGATGTTATCAGCATATCCCAGGGTCTAGTAGCCGAAATTGTTCAATGTCCCCATGTTTCAGGAAGTCCCACAGTGGAATGGATAGTTTTCCACTCTGTGGGCATCATTTAGCCAGAGACAAGCTTGATTTCACCTACCGGTATTGTTGGAATCTGGCTGGAAGGTTGCAGACTTTCCTTCGGCATATCAATGGTGTCAAGGAACTAATTAGTGCCGCATATCCAAACGACTCGTCGATGAATGGAATCCGGGAGCATCAGCGTATGTTTGTGTACTGAACTCCATGTGTGGAAACAGTACTCTAAAACGGGTATCTGTACTTAGAAGATCATAAGAAGCAGTTCAGGTGTGAAGTATGTTTCCGCTTGGAATTAAAATCCAAGTTTTCGTGAAGCAGCTTTCGCGATGAATCTGACATGAAATTTCAATGAGAGAGTATTACTGGTGGAAATACCAAGAATTGAGATATATGGTGGACTGCGTGGACATTGTTATAGCAGGCACACTCTGGGATCGGTTTTTCTAGAGAAAATACAGGTTTGAGTGTTGGTTGCGTTGAATTCGATTAGATTTTTAGCTCCCCAGGCTTACTTTCAGCAAGATCTTCATTGACAGCGTTGACATGCCTTAGTAGTGAGTTCTCATAGTTTCCTGAGATGAAATGGAATCTCTAGGAAAGAACGCATCATTGAGAGTATTGTCATCTGAAATCGAATCATTGATATGGAAAAGGAACAATTTGGAGTTGATGGCTACCATAGCAGACGATATTCCGTCCACCACCACATGAAGCGATCTGTCCGAAAGAAAACGCGAAAGTATATTGCATAGCTGAGGTAGTAAGCTATATGATGGTATAGTTTGTAGGGAAATCGTTGATACCCAACACGGTCAAATGCTTCTGACACATCTTACGCCACAGCTAGAAATTCTTCAAGTTTCTTTACTTAAGCTCAGCATATAAGGTAAAAGGAGGGAAGGGAAGCTCGAAGTCATCTCCACACAATTTAATGACGTTGTTAAACAATCAGGGACATGTTTCGGTCTCAGAAAAGACCATCTTCATCATACATGGCAACGTCCTTGTGAAAAAAAACACGAAAATATATTGCATAGCTGAGGTAGTACGCCACATGATGGTAGAGTTTGTAGAGAAATCGTTAATACCAAACATGGTCAAATGCTTCCGACACATCTAACGCCACAGCTAGAGATTCTCCAAGTTTTTCACTCAAGCTTAACAAATATGGTAAAAGGAAGGTAGGAAAGCTCGAAGTCATATCCACACAATTAAATGACATTCTTAAACAATCAGAAACATGTTTCGGTCTCAGAAAAGACCATCTTTATCATGCATGGCAACGTCCTTGTTAGATATTCTTCTTGGCCGTTGGAGAGAAAATGTTTTGAAGCACTTGCCGGAAAATAGAGCAGTCCGCTGGCACTGAAGTGCCACTTTGTACCCGCAAAACCAGGAGATGAAATGTCACTTCACGCCCAGACATGCATGAAAGTTGTTTCTTTATTTACAGGATCGGATGACATAAGGGCCAGCGATTCCGTCCACTCCCGCAGGGGCATCTTCCGCCCGCTGAGCGACATCCCCGAGCTCTCCTCCCACTGGCCCTACGGCAAGTCCATCTACGACGACCCTAGCGCCGCCGCCGAGCGCATCCAAGTGCCCGGCTACAGATACGACCCCCTACACAGAGACACTTACGGCTACTCGCCGCGTCAGATCTACCCGCACAACTACGGATCGCTCGACAGATACCGGCCCGGTAGGTTCGAGTACAAGCACTAGAGGGCAGCAGGCTCTAACGCGTCTCGGTCGCTAACGCCCATGCATTCACTATTCATAAACAGTTTTATAGCTCAAGAGGCCGAGCGCGGGTCCTTGCGGCCCACCGCGTCCCAATCCGTCGACTTTGTTTTTGTCAATAGTAGGGGCCTGTGGATGCATTTTCTACGATTGCTGATACCCAAGGTCTGTTTTCAGAAAATTTTGTTTTTCAATTTTTAATATTAGTTACTATTCATCGAGATGACTATCTAAAAACATTGAGTTTGGTAGAAATCCAAGATAAACATATTGTCTTATGAAACTCTGAAGCCGGATATCCATTTTTCATTCCGCATTAGTTGGGAAACAATATAAATAATCAGGATAAGTAAGGTTACTCAATTCGTTGGAAAATGTAGATCTATCAAGCTACTCCTATTGATGAACAAGTTGAACAGCTCGTTTTTGTGTCGTCTACTTATTATGTAGGTATTATATGTTCGTATTTGATAATATGATGATGTTGTACAGCATTCTGGATATAATAAAATTTATAAAAAGCCAATAATATGTTGAGTGTGCGCCCCGCAAACGCTTGAGCGCCCACTAAAGTGCAATTGACGTATAATATTTGAGAATATTACAGAGTGAGTAGAGTTAGTGCCTAGGGTAATAAAAAATCCACTTGATATATTGGTAGCTATATTAAATACGCGTACATACGGCCTGATGCCTCACCAATTGGGTTGGACTCCAGGGGGCAGCAGTTCCCAAAAAAAAAACACCACCGGACTACGGAGGATGAGGTGAAGAAGAATCCCACTATGGGTCAAGTGGGAGGATATCTTGCCTGCCTCGGCGGATGAGCAGCGTTTCTGCTTGGGCACTGACACTGCAGAGCGTCTGTTGTATCAGATGGCCTCGCCATTGGTAAAATGAAATGGTATTGGTGTTCAAAAAAAAACCCTTTCCCGACTTGCTGATTCTTCTACAATCTAAATGCGCTTTACAAAGAGCACAGTGAACCATTCGAGTACTCTCAAATGAGAAATGAAAATGTGTATACGGTTGTATATATTTACTCGTGAAATAGTTCCAGTACGTACATTGGATCTGGCAACAGCAGCTCAGAATATTTTCTCATTTCTTGAATTTGGTGACCAAATTCAATCATATCCGTGATAATCCGGATATACTAAAATTATATTTTTTCAGTTTGGTACAGTCCCAAGTGTTTTTCAAAACGCAACATGAAAGATAAAGGGCTCTTCAGGTGTTCTCCTCCTAAGTATTGGTGCTTTACGAGCTATTCCATATACAGTGTGTGCGATTAGGAACCCGTCGGCCGATTTTCAAAAACAAGAATCTCATAATATGGTACTCGAAAATGTGGACAAATCAGAAATATTCGGATGTAAAAACGATAAGAATTCCACAAAATTCTTATAGACACAACATGTTTCGTTAACACAGAAGCTTCGTCAGGTGATATACTGGTACATTGTAACATGTTGTGTGTATAAGAATTTTGTGGAAATTTTATCGTTTTTACATTTGCCGTGGATTTCCATCAAGTAACGGCCGAGTCAATTCAAAATTAAAAATATTCGGATTTTCAAGGCCTACTTTTACTTGTTGAAAGGGTCGAAATTCAAAAATCGACAGACAATTTTCGTCGAAACAGTGACTAACCTATTAGATTCAGGCATAGCTTGAATACCGCCATACGAAATCTGAAAGCGGAATCTTATATAGGGCAAATTTTGATATATTTGTTTTTTCGATTCATCCTGTATCAAAATCTAAGGAGTTGATATAACTGGTGAAGTAGTCATTCAATGGGGAAACACATCGAATACTTGAATACGAAGTTTCATCGCTGTAACTTCTACAGGAAGATCTCTCTAGGTCAACCAAAAATCAATAAAACTAAAGTTGAGGTTCACCATTTTGAAACCTCAAGTAAACCGTTTTTCACACTCCATCACATAGTACCTTTGAAAATCGTCTCGATAATAAAAATAGAATGACAGACAAACACTCCAAAGACTGCAAGAAGATTTACTGATACTTAATGTGATCATAATAATATACCGATTTTGGCGAAATGGAAGGGAATTTGAGATGACAATGAAAATTGTAATGTATAGAGAATATTTCCTCGAATTAGTTACCATTATACGTATTCCCAGATATGAATCATAATAAAACATTTTTCAACTTCAATTTCATTAATTTTTGGTTGACCCAGATATATCTTCCTGTAGAAGATACAACGATGAAACTTCGTATCCTCGTTCGTATCTGAGTATTCGATATGTTCCTCCAATGAATGACTACTTCACCGGTTTCATCAACTCCTCAGATTTTGATACATAGTGAATCAAAAATATCAAAATTTGCCACTGAATAACTAACACCATAGCTATATGAAATTTTGCGTTCAAATTTCGTATGGGAGTATTCCAACTATGCTTGAATTGAATAAGCTAGTCACATATTCGAAAAAAAATTGCCTAGTAGTCTCTTTCGGAATTTTGATCCCTTCAACAAACAGAAGTAGGCTTTGAAAATCTTATTGATATTTAAATTTTTTCCACATTTTCGAATAGAGCTCGTTGAGTTCTATTATGGAATCTTTGTCTGGTTCTGGAAACTGGTGGAAACCATCAGGTGCCATGGATATCCACATCTCACCTATATCTATTCATAAAGAAATCTAACCAATTCAACAGTGAATAGGGTTGATTAAACCTCAATCACCCTTGATCAAACGAGATATTTTTGTGCATCTTGGAATTAGGAACGAATCATATATTTTTCAAATATGTGCGATGCATAGATGAGATTAAAATGGAATCACAAATCTCGAGCCATTTGGGATCTTGAGTCAATATATTTTTTGATGCTTGAAAGTGTTAATTTGTTGAATTTTCAAGTATGTATCATTTCCATTCTTACCGAGCGAAAAAGCCTAGATGCGTTACTCAATATCTTCGTTTATTTCCAAAATTGTTACCAATTCATACAGCTGGCAAACTAAATATACTTCAATGACTTCATGATTATGCAATCTTGAAGGTCTCCCAAAAATAGAAGCCAGATATTTTTGCGCTCATATCCACCAAACCACTTGACTCGAACTATTTCAATTTGAACATGCTCCAAAGTAAGTAAGTTTGTTTGGAATTTATCATTCTGAAATTCTCAATGGCGTGTCAAGTGGATTCTCGAAATCAACGGCATCATTTTATGTTAGTTAATTATCATCATTTGTAAAAAATATGACGAATCTGAACCCGATTATGTTTTCGAATGTGTTGATTATAGTTCACGAATATTATAAGTCAATTGTTCACATTAACATCGATAATTTTTGCATCGAATAATGATCGCATAAGTTCAATTCCTTAACGTAGCTTTCTTAACATATCCTGCCGCTCCAGCATTTGCCAGGGCGATCCACATTTTTTGTTTTTTCGACACCTTAGTCCCTCTTATTCTTCGTTTTTGAGTGTTTTTTAGAACACTGTATGTTGCAGTTTATTTTTGAGGGATGAACCATGTAAGTATAGGTAAACGGTCGCCTTGGAGGTAAGAATATCTTTGAAGTCTAATGAAGCTTGCGTGAATATATACACAGCAGAAAAGTTTTGTCTCCCCGATAGCAACATTTTTCAAGTTGTAAGCATACAGATAGAATGAATTACAAAGGTGAAAAATATATTGAACAATTCAGTATTAGTGATATTGGTGTATGCACTAGCACTAGATAGTACAAAACTTTTTCAGTTGTGTTTATACTATCACCATCCTATGAAGAATGTGCTTGTATATGTATTCATTGAATATTTTGCTTTATTTGTGATTGTACATATGTTTTGTGGAAATTGATTGGTGTTTTCAACACATCAGTACTAACAACACATGTTTATTCTTCAAGAGTTTTTTATCCCGGTTACTTGTCATGTTAGGATCCAGAATACAAATAATATGTCAGTTCTTCTTGCGAAACCACTCGTATGAGAATCCAAATTTCATCGTAGAGAAATTGTTTGGTATTCTCTGTTTGCCGACTTTATAGCCTCCTACAATAACTTATCAACCTAGATATTGCTCCATTTAAGTATTATATGTCTTCATCGCATCGTTTGCATATTTTCCATATCTGCCGATCACGTGATATAGCTTATCTTACAGTACCTAACTAATCAAAGTGGACATGGCTCTTATTTTCAGCTGGCGTCGAATATATCTGATCAAGTGCTCATCATTATATCTTACTGATGTAAACTTCGATTTAGCACGAAGACCTTTTTCCCAAATTGAATGCCCTTAAGGCTCATCGCCAGCTCCACCTATATCACCTATTACATCACAATCATCAGAAACTATCAAAGAGCCAAGGATGTTTCCCAACATCGCAACTAGCGTTTTTAACATGGTTTTGAAAGCCCTTCCTCCTACGACATTATTGGTTGAGCTAACAGGGTTCTGGTTTTAAAAAAGCTTAATTTCAATAGCATCCACCTCTATTATTGGGAGTTAGTTTACTTGGGGTCTAGTGAAGGTGTGGTCTGGAGGTTAGTTCAGAGTTCAGATGTTCATTCAAATATTATCAATCTCAATGATTGATGCCATATAACATCAATTACTCTTGAAAATACACCCCCACGACAAGCCATCAGACAATAATAATGCCCCCGCCCATATCCAATCCAGTCCACGCACCGCCCCACTACTCCTTTATGGCTCCGCCTCCTGATAGACCCCACCCCACATCTGGTCCTAGCCATCCCTATACCTACTACACTGGTTGAACGTAAACATACTACACCATGCATACCTGTTCAGTTCCATATTTCCCAAATGAACTAAAATACATCAAGCCTCAATTTCCATAGGTTCCAGAATATTATATAGGTCTTTTTCACTCGGGTTAATAAGATAATTATTTATTAGATACACTGAGTCTCACATTAAGGCACGTAAAACAGGAGATATGCCTCTTTTTCATCAAGATGATTCACCATGATGATTTTGATCCAGGATTTTCTTAGCTGATCTACTAACAATAAGAACAAATAGTTTTATACTATTTTGATCAATATCTCAAACTGAATTATCAACTTTGAAGATAATTTCATGACCTCAGTTAAGAATACCAGGTCTATTCAGTGGTGATTGTCACCGCAAGTGACACTGCTTACAGTAGAAAAGGTAAGAGGCCAAGTTTGTCTTCTTCCTAAATAGGATACTAATTTTTAATACTAGTTCTCTGATTCTTGCACAGTTTATAAAACAAGCTACGGATGAAAATATATGAATCCATGAATGTAATTTCACATATTAAATGTCGTCGTAGCTGTCCACATCACCAAGCCGAAAGCCTCCGACGCCGTCAGGGCATGAAACCCGCGTCAAGGGCCGTGTGCCCAGCCAATGACCCAATGGCGTCTTCCACACTACCTACCCTTTCTCCCTTTCTACCTCGTGTACATCGATAGACCCATCTCGTGTTGGGAATATCTTTAGATATCGTTATTCCCTGTTGATTTGAGTTCTTTGTCAAGATGGAGAGGCTTTCTAGAAAATTTTATTCCAAATTGAGTTCATGTACAAAATGACAATTCACTTCACAACACTAGTCTCCACATCACATTCCCAGCTAAACCCCGCCTTAGGTCACGCCCCCTGGTCGGTCTGACCAATCTCTATACCTACTCCACCAGTTGATCATAACATTCCACACAATATCTGTCTTGCAAATGAATGAAAATACTTCAAATGTCTCATTATTTCCAGAAATCCCAGATTAATTTATAGATTTTCACTCTGCGGAATTTTGTGATGGGAAACCCACTGTATAGTTCATTATTCTTCAAACCGGGTCAATCTGCTAATGATTTATTCAAAAGATTCAAAGTTTCACATTAAGGCACTTGAGGTCCAGACAAAAGACATGAAGGTCATCAGGATGATCCACCATAATGATTATGATCCAGGACCCACCTAGCTGATCTACTAACAATTAGAGCAAATTGTTTGATAATATTTCGGGCTACTTTATTTTGATTTGCTAATGCAACCCTTGTTGGTGAATATTTGAGGGGAACATTTCCATTTTGAAAAAAACATTGTTGATGAAATTTCCTTGTTCAATTCGAATAGCAGCATGTTTTCTTGTGTATACTTCATCATAACATAACCTCCCAATAATTGCATGACCTCAGAGGAGAATACCGTGTCAATTCGGTACTGATTGACAATCAGTGCAATGTTCTTCGCCAACAGATAGCTAAATATTGATATTCTGTCAGTTGACAATTGAAAGCGCCACTATCTAGAGTGGAAAGGTAAGAGCCCCTAGAAAACGTGCAGTTTGCCTCCCTAAACAGAAAACTAATTACCAGTTCCCTAGGTTCATGGCACAGTGTATAAAACGAGCTAAGAATGAAAATATACATGAATCCACGAATGTGATTTCTCATAAAAACATGTATTTCTTTAGCTTTCCACATCACCAAGCCCAAAGCCTTCGACGCCGACAGGGCATGGAAGGACCACGTGGACCGCGTCAAGGGCCGCGAGCCCAGCCAATGGCCCAACGGTGTATTCCACACCACCTACCCCTTCTCCCGCTACCCCCTCTACCTCGTGTACAGCAAGAGACCACCACCGGCGGCCGACAAGTACGACCCGCACCGGTCCTGGTTGGACCACTTGGACCGGCTCGCTGAGCTCGACAAGCTGTACCCTACTCTGTGGCCGTCTTTCGGAAACAGCAGGTCACCAACTCCCACCAAGGTTTGTGAAATTCATTGAACTGAATTTACTACAACGATGAAATATTGTTACATTGTTCGGGTGCAGAAGCGACCACGACACTATTTATTTCCGAACTGATTTATTTCAACAAAAGGAACACAAATTTATATCGAACTTATAACTACTATTTATGTAACACGATTTATATCACGCGGTATATGACTGTCTCTCTGACACCCGCTGCTTGACTGACTGACGCAGTTGTCCGACCGTCCCTATATATGAGATCCCTTGGTAGGCTTTGCTTCTCGAAAGTTCTCGAATGATCTTCCGTACCCTTCTTTTTGTTCTATGTAGAAGCTTCTTAGAACAATACCTCTCTCTCTCTAATTGTTCCATCGATTGTTTCCAGAACATTCCAGAATCTTCTGTCACGTTATTTGTCACCGCGACATATATTGAGTGTTCGGAAATAGGCTGGTACATGTAGGAATCATTGGGATGTTGGCGAACAATTTGGGATGCGTGTCACAGGATGATCGTTGTACTCCTGCCTTCCTGATGATATTTCTAGAGGCCCCTCTAAAGGAAATATCATTACAATATGTACACTGCATACCATTTTTGTTGAAAGTGCCAGACTCCTCGCGGTTGGTATTGAAGATAGAAGGAACCTTGCGTTTTTCACATCACTGTCCTATAATTTTGTGAAACGCAATGGCCTAATCGTACTTTGCATAGCTCTGTTTCCGGTTACGAGATACTGGACGATTATAGAAATTCATACTTTTTGGCCTCCTTATTGTGTATCTACGAAGTTATTAGAAATAATGGTGCACTGGGAACTATGTCTGATGCTGAATATGAAATTCTGCGCAAAATTATCTGAGAGACGTACTCCTTCGCGCTTATAGGCAACAAAATTTTCAAGAACTTCAAAGATATTATACGGGGTCAAAAAATAATAAATGTTCAAAATCTCACAGTATCTCGTCAACTGAGAGAGTTATGCAAACTTTCATTGACCCATATTGAATTTCACAAAAAAGTAGGACATTAATGTGAAAACCGCAAGGTTCTATCTTCAATAACGAAAGAGAAATCTGATGGGAGTCTCAACCGAAATGGAATGCACTGTACATGTATATAATGGTGTTGGTGATGGGCAAGAACACAAAAATGTATGAATTCAATTCAAATGGGCATATAACTGTAATATAAAAGTAACATAATTTAAACACATACATTTTTCGAATACCCTACAATTTCATGAAAGGTTCAAACATAGCTAAAGTCATAATTCATCTTCCTGTATTGCCACCTGTTTGGTTCTGAGGAAAAATCACATAATCATTTCTAAATGTGTGAAGTCATGAAGTGATAAATGTCACCAATATAAATTTTACCCACATAGCCAATTTTACAATTGTAATAACTTATCGAGCAGGCTTTAGTACGTTATAGGTTCAATTAACAGCGACAAAATTTGATTTAATCCTCAATTTTACATTATACCAAGGTTTATACTTTATACAATCTAAGTGGACGATTTTGATTTACTTGCCATTTCAATTTAATCTCAGATTCTGATCAAATCACTCTTATATCTGTGTCATATTATTTTACAATCCAGTTTATATATTTTTATTTTGTTCCCACGAAAAGGGATATCCTGTAATGCTCAGTTCATTCATGACATATTGTTGAAATCAGTTAAATTTTTAGTGTATATAGAACCAATCAATGTAGAAATATCCTAACTATCTACATGAATCGGTAGGAATGGCAACACCGTTTATCTCTCTGGATACTTGTGAAGTCAGTAGCACTAACGAATTTTCCGTTTATTTTGGAAAATCTAGAAAGAATGAAAAATTCAGAAAAAAAAATGTTGTTTTTCTCATTGTGATGAACGTCGTACTATTATTTCTAGAAATTAGTGTTCTTAACTATTGTCATATGGACGAAACACGATGTTGTATGTTTATGCGCAGGTCTAGGTTTGAATCTAGGTTAGGGCTTCGCGATATTGTAATTAGATATCGTAACTAGACATATTTGTCGTTCGATTTTTTTCACCCCTAGTGGTGATAATCAATCAATAATGATAATTAATCATTAAGCATGATCATGATACTACTTGTTGTTTATTGTTTTCATCTCTATTTCATTCCTTGGTCTATACGATAGTAACTATACAAGGTGTAACATATAAGTACGTTGAAATATTCAAGTGGCGAATTTCTGAGATAATTTTAAGAAAAATGTTTACATAAACTTGTATCCGGAAATGCTTTGTTGCGGAAATACAAGGTGTTGAAATTTTAAAAATAACTTTTGCAAAACATAAGTTATTTGCACGAAATTTGGTACTCAGGGTTTTTTGACGTAGGAAATTATAATTTCATATTAATTTTCATGTTACATTTAGAGGGCGGTATGTACGCTGTCATTATTTATTTCAAATTGCCGTTACATTTTTGACAGTAAGCTTTTGGTACTTTACATGATACAATCGTATTCCCACATCTTCTCCAAGTAAAAAAGGTGCACTTTCTCAACAACGCTGGAGGTGATCGTCCTATAGGAGCTAACTAACATGCATCAATATAGAAAATAGTGAATATCTTGAGAACGATCTTTTCCAGCGTTGTTGAGGAAGTGAACCTTTTTTATTTGAAAAAGGTGTGGGAATAAGATTTTCTCATGAAGAGTACCAGAAGTTCAGTGCCAAAAATGTTAGGGCAATTTGAAATAAATAATGACAGCGTACCCAGCGCCCTCTAGATGTTATATGAAAATTGATACGAAATTATGATTTCTTACTTCAGAAAACCCCGGGTACCAAATTTCATACCTTATAGTGTTTGGAATCACACGTTAAAAGGTAAGACCCCCGTCATTCCTTGCTCGCACAAGACTCTCGAAGACTTCTGAGGGTTGCTCGTAAGGGGGCAACCGAATGACGGATAGAACAATTTTTTTTTTAATATTTCGCAAAAGTTATTTCTAAAACACGAAAAATAATGTAACTTCAGCACCCTATATCTCCGACTCGTTTGAAATAACCCAATCAAATCCGGTATTGTTGAATTCGTTATAATAATTTATAGCTGATTATGGAATAAAATGCAGGGTGTTTCATTTGAGAATCGGAAGTTGATGTCATTTCCAGGAAAACCAGAAGGTAAAAACATTTTTGTAAAATGTGAGAAAGTGACCTCTAGTGAGCAGGTTCGACGTTTAAAATTTCAGAAATATAGCTAGAAAAAAAAAGGAGGAAAGGCCATAGTGTTTGATTGTAGTGAGGTAGCTCAGCAACTGATATTTATCTCTCTTCGTCTGTTTTCAGGTTGGACAGTACGCCCCCCGCCCCTCGGAGGTAGCCTTCAACTACGCCGGCCAGCCGATCTACTCCCGCGGAGGCCTCTATCCAAGTAAGACTCTCCTCCACGACCTCCTCAACCCCTCTCCGAGCCTTCCCATCTCGGCGGTGACCAGAGACCCCTTCTGGTGGGACTCGCCCCTCAAACCCGCCTCCTCCTACAGCCCCTGGGGCAAGAGCCCCTTCTACCTGCGCGACTCGTACCTCTCCCCTGTCAAGAGGACGTTCCTGTGGGACAAACACCCCGTCAGGCCGTTCGGTGAGTTCTCGTGACGTGCTTATCCCGAAGACCTGGCCAGATCCTGCTGTGTACCTTGTGAGAGTGTGTCGGTGTTTGTGGGTTGCAAATCAATTTTCTTCAAATAACGACTTTTTTTTGTTGTTCTGGTTCCCACGAAAAGGGATATCCTGTAATGTTCAGAGAACATCGTGAGAATCAAGGGAAATGAGGTAGGAATTAGTGTTCTTCTTGAATTTCTGGAGGTTATATGCCTCGGGAAACACCTCCCTTGGCAATGTGTTCCAGAGCCTCGCTATTCGTTGGATGAACGAGTCTTTGCAGGTCTCCAAAGTGACCACAAAGGGGTGCGAAGCCTCAACTCGCAATCCAAGTATGAGAACAGTATTCCAGGACAGGTCGGATCTGTGCCTTATACAGGTCGGATCTGTGCCTTATAGATCATAAGCAGCTGACTGGAAGTGAAATAGCTCCTGGCCCGAAACAGAAATCCGCGTTCTTGGGATGCACTTTTAACAATTGATCTCACGTGATTTTCACAAGGAAGGTTATTGCTGATAGTAATACCAAGCATCGAAATAGATGTCTTCAAAGGTATGGTTACTCCTGACAAGCTTATGTTGCGCACAGTGAGATCGGCATTTCTAGAGAAAAGGCATGCTTGTGTTTTGTTTGCATTGAAATCTACCAAGTTATTGAATCCCCATTCGAGAATTGTTGCCAAGTATTTATGTTGTCAACATTCCTCCCTCGTTCGTTTCTGATTTGCCTGGCTGGTATTGGAACCCTGGAAGAGAAGCCGGTATGGAGGGTACTATCATCCGCGAAGCTGTGTACTGGACATGAAAGTTGCTTCCAACAAATCGTTGATATGGAGTGGAAAGAGTGTTGGTGTTAGAATTGATCCTTGCGGAACACCAGCATTTTTAATAAGAGATGGAAGCTTGGCGAGGAGTCTGTGGTGCCAGACTCCTCGCCAATATATGTGAGACGTAAGCGAGCAGGTCACCAGTTGATCTCTGATGACGAAAGCCATATTGCCTATCGTTGATAGTACCTGAATGTTCCATTTCATGAGCTCGATGTTGATAGCTTTCTCCATGATCTTTGAAATGATAGATAGCAGTGCGATCGGTCTGTAGTTGCTAGGTAGGGTCTGCATTTTTCAGGAACTGGTTGTACTCTTGCAATTTTCCAGTTGGACGGGAATATCCCCAATTTGTAAGAGTAGTTGAACAACTTGCAGAGAACATGTATTAGTTCGGGAGCACATTTCTCGAGAATAATCGGTGGGATTCCGTCGGAGCCATAAGCTTTGTTGGTGTTGAGACCCAATAAAATCTTCCTTATAGTACGTTGGCAAAAAGTGATCTCGGGCATATGACTGTCAATTGGCGTCATGTTTGGAGGTTGTTTTCCCGATGAATCCGGAGTGGAATTCCCAGCAAATGAATGCGCAAAAATGTTGGCTTTCTCCTGGGCAGTTGTGGCTAGTCTTCCATCTTCCTTGGTTAGAGGAGGAAACGAGCTGGAAGTGTCTTCCTACAACTTTGGCGAAGGACCAAAATGAACGGGATCCGTTAGGACATTCAACAAGTTTCGATCTTATTTTGGCATTATGAGCATCCTTTGATGATCGAATTGTCTCATTGCATATGCCTCTAGCCTCGACATATTCTGCTCTAGTCTCAGGGCCTGGATTTTTCTGCCATCGATGGAATGCTGCCTGTTTGGAAGCGACTACTATAAAATAGTAAATAAACTACTTTGTGGTCTGCCAAGATCCCCTCATCTCGAACGTATCTCTGCCCTTTTCACCAATTTTACGTCTGACCCTTTCGAGTACAGCAGCTCTATGATCGGAGCTCCTGACAATCACCATGTTTCACATCAACATGAAGGATTGTTTTTTATTCAGTGAGGTTTAGACGTGGAAAAAACTCGAAATTTTTGTCAAATGCATGCAACACCAATTACTCTTGGATAATAGGTAATAAAATTCGCAATTCAACATCATTGGTTTAAGTGCAAGAACTATCGGGTATAATTTCAATTCGAATTTGAATAATTCAAAATGAGCAGTTTATGCTTTCTTGAGGCTCGAATAACCAGTTCCATGTTCAGAACATTATGAGAAGAACAATATCTCTTGATTTTTCTATTTTACTAATCTTTCTGGACAAACACCTATAGCCAGGCTGTTCGGTGAGTTCTCATGACGTGCTCATCTGGAAGACCTGGCCAGATCTTGCTCTGCACCTTGTGAGAGTGTGTCGGTGTTTGTGGGATGCGAATCAATTTTCTTCAATGAAACAAAAGTTGTTTGCTCATGATTGATTTCCAGTTTTTCCTCCGAATAACGACTACTATAAAATAGCGAATACACTTCTTTGTGATCTGCCAAGATCGCCTCATCTAAAATGTATCTCTGCCCTTTCCACCAATTTCACTGCTGACCTTTTTGAGTACAGCACGGCTGCCATGAATCGGAGGATAGCATTGAGCCCCTGACAATCATTATGTTTCACATCAACATAAAGGAATTTGGATTTTTTTTCAGTGAGATTTATACGGGAAAAAAAACTCGAAACGTTTGTCTAATGTATGCAATTCTTTTTGGAGTAGGTCATATTTTTCGCGATTTAACATCATTGGTTCAAGTGCCAGAACTCGGGTATAATTTCAATTCGAATTTGAATAATTCAAAATTAGCAGTTTTTGCTTTTTGAGACTCGAATAACCAGTTTAATGTTTAGAAGGATTATGAGAAGCACAAGCTCTCCTGATTTCTCTATCTTCCCGGACAAACACCTAATCAGGTCGTTCGGTGAGTTCTCGTGACGTGCTTATCCGGAAAACCTAGCCAGATCCTAGTCTGCACCTTGTGAGCGATGAGCGTGTGTCGATGTTAATTCTAATTGAGCAGTTTTCGCTTTCTTGAGACTCGAATAACCAGTTCCATTTTCAGAAGATTGTGAGGAGAGTAACTTCTTGATTATTTTCTTTTGTCTCTTGGATCGCATGAGGGACTCCCTATTATGCAAATAGAGCATCTTACTTCAAGGCTTAGAATTTCCAGGTTTTGTGGTACCACGTTTGACTCATTAGGCCTGTTCGTTTGTGCTTGCTCTACCTGCTGAACTTAATTTTTTTCTATGACTTTCTCTGTTTGCATCATGTCATGAACAGAGACAGCTATAGGGAAAAAATAAACTTTAGCAAGTCTAGCATTACAAACGAACAGGTCTATTGAAGAATGAAAGGAACCTCTTCATTTGGATGTATGACGAAGTGATTAAAACATTATCAGCATTTCGGAATCACTTTCAAGCACGGCCCATTTGAGCTTATTTTATTGGCTGAACATATATATTCAATCAAGGCACCTACTGATAACATAGATGAAAAGATGGCAATGAATTGTGAAAAAGTACTAGAGAATCATGAAGAATGAAAAATGTTGTACTGCTGGTATTGCCTATAAGTTTTGAAAATGTGTTAGACTCCAGCAGAAGGGTACAGATCTCATTGATTCCTCTTGAACAGTAGGAAATACTTTCAACATCATTAGTTTTGGTGCCAGAACTTCATATCAATTTCGATAACTACCTTCCAGATCTCACCAATTCCTCTTGGGTAGTAGGTTATACTTTTCACGATTTGACATAATTGGTTTGAGTTCCAGAACTCCAACTGTATGTCTTCTTCATTTATACTCTTCAGTGGGGATGCTCCAGAGGTACCTCGTCAGACTTGATCGATCTGAAAACGTACTTTGAATAGGTGGTCTTATATACATAGATAAATCGATTGAGAGTGATGCATAACCCTTCGTAAAATACCTGTATCTTGTTGGGTTGATCTTCTCTAGAGCTGATATTGTCACGTTGTTTGTTCTGATCAATCTTTTGGAAGTGATAGTTTTGTTGTCTGAGTGATGATGATCTCAGTAGGTATGACAGAAATATTGAAAGCCTCTTCATTTCTTACATGACAGAATTATATTTAATTTATGTTATGATATCCTTCTCAAAAGCAATACATAAGCATCACATTTGAATGAACTACTTACTGCACATCGATCTCTTGAGATTATACTCAACATTTAATGCCATACTTCATCATCCATATGATTTCGAATTATAAGGGACATTAATAATTTGTGCTCGAAAAATTGATTTGCAAAACTATATAAACACCTCACATGACACATCTCCTTTTCCTACGTTTTCAAGGAGGACATATTTTGGTAACTCTATGTTTTTGTGTCAGTTTTAGATGGTATTCGATTTAATCTAGTGTAAATTAGAAATATTAACAATTTGTAGTATAATTGTCTTCTAGATTAATAGATGTAGATATAGATGCAACTCTATCTAAACGCATTTTTCATCTAACCGTTTTAGCAACATATTGAATGCATACTCATATTTAATAGAAAACGGATTTCATGTGATATCATGTTCGGCCCTTTAAGGACAACGTTTAAGCCTGTAGATGAATCCCAAAATTTACCGAAAGGTAGGAATATGAGTATGTTCAAAGGTACTTGAATAATCTCTGACTGAAAAGACAAATATTCATGAAGAACATATTTCTGAAATCATAGGAGTTCAGAATTCTAGAACTGACACGCCGAGTTCTGATATTGAAAGGCTGTTTGAAAGTTCCTCAACTTTATCATAATATATTACCTAACAAATCCAAAAACACAATATGCAGGTGTTTTCAGGCCAAACTAGAAGTTCATGATACCCTTAGGAGAACCTACTTTTTTCAATTGAATAGGTAGGTACTCTGAAGCAATATAATCCCGAATAGCAAAGTTTCGTGACTTGAAATATAGGTACCACTGTCATAAACTACTATTTAGACCGCTAATGCCATAAGAAAGAAGGTAAGAAACTCACGAGATAGAACTGGAGATGTCATATATTTTATTCACTCTTACTCATTAACAATTTCGATATTGGCATCAGACACATCATGGGGGACAGAGCTATCATAGAGATGAAAGATTCTAGTATGGCTTAGATAATGCTTGGATTCACTTATTTTGGATTTGTCATATACATACACTCAGATGCAAAAAACGCAACAAGTTAATATTCGGTCAAATGTAAAGTCTCATAACTTTTTTTGATTTGATATGCATAATTCTTTCAAAAAACTGTAGTTAAATTACGACGTCCAACTTGTATATCCAGTCTTTTGTTAAATGCTGGCGGATTAGTCATTATACAGGGTTAATTGAAAGGTTGTTGCGCAACCCTTCCACTTCAGAAATAAATTTCAACTGTAACTCAATCAACCTAAAAAAACGTACTTTCTATAACACATCTGCTCAATATCTCATATAACCACCTCTAGCTCTTGTAACTGCCTGCATACGTCGGTTCAAACTATCGATAAGGTTTTGAATAGCATCCTGAGGTATATCGTGCCATTCCTCCTATGAAGGGCTATATGAAGTTCATTTACTGTAATCGGAGCTACCTCGCGATCCCTGACTCATCTACAAAGCATGTCCCATACATGCTCTATTAGGTTGAGATCAGGCGAACATGCTGGCCAATTCATTTTGTTGATGTCAACTTCCGCGAGGTGTTGTGTAGCACACAGTATGTGGCCGTGCATTATCCTGCATAGGATAAAACCATCGCTGATATATATCCACTGAAAAGTACAACGTGATTGTTTATCATCTCATCCATATATTGGTTAGCCGTGCAGGCCTCCTGGATTATTCCTGCCCACACCATTACTGAACCTCCTCCATCTTTCTCCGGTCCTTCTCTATATTCTTTTCCGAACATTTATTGTAGAATATAATCAGAATCTGGATTCGCCGATGAGAAGAACATTGTTCCATTGACACAAGTTCCGAATTAAATGTTCACAGTGGCAAATTGCAGTCTAGCTACTCGGTGACGCGGAATCAATTTGGGTCCAGTTGCTGGTCTGCAAGCTCTCCATACACTTACATTAATACCTCGAACCTCTTGGAGTTGATATCTTGACTGCACTGAAGTTAGATTTGACGATCCCGCAGAGTTATCTTAGACCAATAGCATTTGCCCAATTTTCCGCACTTAAAACCATTGCAGTATAGGTTTTGTGTTAAAAAAACACTGTCAATTTGACATAAGGACAACAACGATCAAAGCCACCTCGCCAAAAAAATAACATTACTCAAAGTAAACTGTCGCTCTTAAAAATTAACCAGTGCTCTTAATGACACGAATCAGAAGTCAAAATGTAGGAAAGGAATGGTTCATAACGAGAAATGACATTTTGAATGAATTTGGCAACGAAATTATTCCACAGGGTGTTTTGAAATTAGGGTTATACAACAACCTTTCAAGTAACCCTGTATAATGACTAATCCGCCAGCATTTATCAAAAGACTGGATATACAAGTTGAAATTAGTCATTTTATCTCAATTTGTTGAAATAAATATGAAAATCGAACCAAAAATTAAAAAGTTATGAGACCTTAAATTTGACCGAATTCTAACTTGTTGCGTTTTTTTTGCATCTGAGTGTATATAACCTCTACCCTATTTAACCAGTCAATTATGTTTCGCCTTACTCTTTTTAATTGTCGATTTGCCATACTACTTCATGCTACTAATTCAATTGTTGGCAGAACATTGTGTGATCTCTTAAAACAACAATTCCAAAAGAGAATTAATACTCAGATTGTGATACATATGACAGGGTTATCGATTCTGAGTACGATCACAACAGCAATTTTTCATTAACTTATTAAGCTTAATATTAAGCAGCAGGCATGCAACATTTTTTGTTCGCTTGATATTACTCAAGGTTGATGACTTCCGAAATCAGAAATTTTGTCACAATCGTCTCTTAAATCTCAAAATATAAAAAACATTTAGGGATTTCCAATTGGAATTGCAAAGTTGGTTTCGTTTTCACTGAACACGAAGTTATGGGGGAGTATAAAATATTGAGATATTCGATAATTTTCAGATCTAATAACTCTGCCAAGTTTGGTTCTCATACCATTGACACCCTAGAACATATGTCAGGGGATGACTGCTTCAGTGATTCTAAGAAATGAAGTGCCAATGAGGATATATTTTCCTGTTAATTTACGAGCAATGTCAATGGACATTCTGAGTGGAAATTTTGCTTCGAATGTATTATATTTTTCAACTTTTTTATCAGGAATACCTATGCCCCGTAAAGACCACGTCAAACTGAAGGAGACTGTAAATCAAAGGCTACCCTACTTGCTTTGAAAGAATCCCCATTATAAAAGTCTACTCATATTTTTTCTCATATGTAATTATACAGGGTGACCCATTTGAAAGCGGGCCACCCCTGTATCTCACGTAATCGTTGGGTAAGGATCATGAAATTTGCTGGAGCGAGAGATATACCAAAAATGCACTCTATGACCAAGTGGGGTCATCTTCAGTGATATACACTGCTCGCCAACAGCCATGAAACCACCCCAATTTCCTGAAAATGATATTAGGAGTCAAAATAGGTTGAAAATCACTTCGGATTCGGAATCAGGACGCCCAATTCACTACCTCTTCATATTTTTCCTTGAAAATTTTCAGTACTGAAAAATTAAATTTTGTCGCACTTTTCACGGAAGCACCCCCGTACCTCACGTAATTGACTTTATCTATGGACTTTCCGTTCCTCCTGCAAATTTTAGAACCCTACCTCAATAATTACGTGAGATACGGGGGTGCTTCCATGAAAAGTGCGACAAAATTTAATGTTTCAGAACTGAAAATTTTCAAGGAAAAATATGAATAGCTAGTGAATTGGGCGTCCTGATTCCGAATCCGAAGTGATTTTCAACCTATTTTGACTCCTAATATCATTTTCAGGAAATTGGGGTGGTTTCATGGCTGTTGGCGAGCAGTGTATATCACTGAAGATGACCCCACTTGGTTATAGAGTGCATTTTTGGTATATATCTCGCTCCAGCAAATTTCATGATCCTTACCCAACGATTACGTGAGATACAGGGGTGGCCCGTTTTCAAATGGGTCACTCTGTATATGCATGCATAATCGTAATATAAATAACTATTGTGACGGAAATATTTGGCGATCGTTACGACAGCTTGCTGCTTGATAATTTCGCATATTGATAACTTACAGTAAATTGGCGCCATAAATGTCAAAAAACTTATTTCTGAAAAACGAGTTTAGTTATTTGATCACAAGTGGGTCAATTCGGCTTATTTATTGATAGAGCAAGTCCAATAATGTTCAGTAAGCAAAAAATATCACTGTAATACAGGAGATACCGTTGAAATGAACGAATTTGATTAGGTCTCAAAAAGTCTCGATCTCCTGACAGTCCCCTTCTGAGAAGTTTGTACTTATAATATTTTTTCAATGAAGAAATTGAAGAACACATTTTACTGAAAGAAATGTATTTGATCACAGCACAAAAAAACATGGACAGGGGCGATAATGCAATGTTTTGATAACATGAAAACGTGAAAACGGTAAGACTCTTATTTTCAATATGGGGTGAAGTAGCCATTGATCTTCATTTTCTGTCAGTTTGATGTGCATGGTCTATACGGGATTCCCTGTATATAAACATATCCTTCTTGTTTTCAGCTGCAGTTTACTAAGTGAGTAATCCACAGAAAAACATACAGAAACAAATCATGGATCAACATAATATCAGCGACTGACTGAACAATGAAGAAGAACATGAAACTTGAAAACATCAACTTGACTCTTTCAAATTATAAATATCTGAATTAAACAGTGCCTTAAATTATACCCAAAAAAATTCAAAAACTTATCGAAAAGTACCTATACAATATTGAAAACAATTGAATTATATTAATTAGGTATAAATAAATTGATACTTCCTAGTGATGATTTTATATACTGTCTGATCTTTTATAACGAAAGCGTGTCTCGCATTCCATCAAAACGTAAAATCATCCCAGGATGTCATCATCTATGAAATTCAATAATTCTATCGATACTATTGTTTTATTTATTTATTGTATACAATACAATTCATCTGATCAATAAAGTAAATGTGGTGAATTCGATTTTCATTTTTCTTCATACAATATGAGGGTGAATTATACAGGCTGATTCACGGTGAATGGCACATTAGACGTATCCCGAGAACGCAACGTAGGATTGTTTTGAAAATTTGGTTCCTCGGATAATTAGTTGTGTTCTATCTACCTGAAATATTCTCAGCGCTGCGACGTTGCCGCTTATATCAAAAAAGTAGCAACAACTTTGATTTTTTTTTCCTGAAGAGCTGATTTCATCGATCTACCACACTTGGAGTCTAGCGGGAATGATAATAAAGAAACTATTCATAATTAATCTTTGGTAGAAGTCCATATTGCTCAAAGTGGAGTGAAATATTTCACACACAATATCACACACATATTCATAATTGGTCAAAACGGTTTCCATGTCCCTATCTCAACTTTTCATGTACTCTCAATTGATATTAAATTGAAATAGATACAGGGTGGTCAAAAATCTTAATTCTGAACCTTCCTGTATTTATTTCAATCAAATATCAATCGATAGTGAATAAAATGTTGGGATAGGAACATGAAAACCGTTTTTACCAATTATGAATAGTTTCCACACAAAAAATTACTAAAGTTGAAAAATCTCGATTTTTCACATCCCATAAATCTGCAATCATTGCTGCTAGACCCCAAGTGTTATGGGTTAATGAAATCAGATCTTCAGGAAGAATCTGACATTGGAATAATATACAGGATGTCCCATTTGGAAAATCAAAGTTGTTGCTACTTTTCAATATAAGCGGCAACGTCGCAATGCTGAGAATATTTTAGGTCGATAGAGCACAACTAATTATTCTAGGCACCAACTTTTCAGAATTATCCTGAGTTGCGTTCTCCAGAAACATCTAATGTGCCATCCACCGTGAATCAGCCTGTATATGTATTGCGATTTCTTGTTAAAAATACGGATTGCCATTAATATATTCTTTTCCTTCAGAAATAAACATCTCTCTCAAAGATAACGGTAAAGCTAATCATTTTATTATTTGAATTTGGAGAATGACAATATGATATAAGTAAATGATTATTACTCGTCAGAAGGTTTGTTACATTGATTTTTTTAAATCATTTCATGACCTCATAGGACGGGAAAGGGGAGGTGTAAATTGAATCCTCTTTGTACTTTCATCATAACATTTTGAAGGGTTAAAATATGATTCAAAAAACATCATTCCCAAACTTAATTCATATCGAAAGGTTTCTGACTAACTTATTTGGGATTTTCTCTCCTCGTTTCTATAAAATAATAATATGAGTATTATTTCAATATATGTGTAGTAGGACAAATCGGATGATTTTCCCCAAAATGTCATTGCGTTTAACAATTTTTTCTATCTGGGAGCCTGAAAGAAAAATCCAATAGCTTGTCAGTGACACTTAGTTTGGAAAAATGTTTGAAGAGAAGAAATATAGATATATTGAAAAAATATCGAATTTTTATTTGACCCTTGCTCATATCCTATTCTCCACTACAGGTGTGTTTGGCGATGGCGAGAAATACCTTGTTTCTGATAAAACGCACGAATTCATATTTTGCATTTGAATACGAATATTTATGCAAAGATAGGCAATTGGCAATTGAAAGTAACTGAACATACCGCCCATCTAAAATGATATACATTTTATCAATGATTCATTTATGAGACAACACAAAACATATAGAGGGATTATTTAGTATCAATTTCGATATGGTAAGGGACAGACCTTGGATACCAGTCTTTTCGAAACGCCTTTTGATATTCTGATTGTGACCACACGAGCAATGCCATCTAATCCTGAGTGAACACTCTCCATACGACCAAAATGTCACTTCAGTGGTTGCTCATCTCTGAGGAGAACTATCGAATTTGATTTAAGGATCCATCCATTTCGACCTCTGCAGTAAAGTGTGAAGGTAATCGCGATTCCATTTTTCCAGAAACTCCGGTGCATTTTTGAAGTAACTGCCAGCGGGAAAGTCGTCCCAAATTTATGTTACACAAATCAGGGTCAGGTATAGCATTCAGAGTTTCCATGGTTAGAAAATGTTCTGGAGTGAGAACCTGAACATCATTAGGCTCGGAGCTAGCCGAACACAACGGCCTTGAGTTTAGGACAGCTTATATTTGGGTGAGGACAGTAGTAAATTCCTCGAAGGTGAGGGACTGCTCACCAACTACCCGCATGAGATGTGATTATATGGAGTCAAGCCCAGACTCTCATGAACCCCCAAAGTTAGGCGCGTGCGCCGGGTTGAAGTGCCAAGATATCTGTTCTTTGCAAATTTCATAATATCCAGTAGATACTTGGAGGATCCCTGAAAATTAGTGCCACAGTCACTATAGATATGGCTCAAGGCTATTCAACTCTATAAGGTTGCCTCATATTGACCTGGCCTGACGTCACTGTTTCCCCATCGTCTTTTGTCGAACGGCAAAATGAAAATGGCGGAGGTGAAAAACAAAACAAACAAATTTAGCATCGTGCAATCAAGTGAATATTGATAAATTTTGAAGTTTTCCAATATGTTTTTGTGTCCAAGAGATTGTTCACTGTTTTCCCAAAACATGCAGCAAGTACAAAAGACTGAAGACAGAAATCTAGAAAGATATGTTCCTCAGTGCTCCTGTTGTACAGACACATTACAGAAACTCAGTCAAATTCTTATTGCAATACCACTCCATTAGGACTGATTACTGTTGGCATTAATAAGGAAGTCTGAACCTAATGATGAAATCATGGTGGATAAGGGCATGCTGACAAGGGATGTGAAGAAATATCTTGAAATTGATTAGGCCATCATTTCTGAGAAACAACAAACAATTAACTAAAGAGGATTTCCTTCTGAATAAATTGAATGATTCTAACTCACTGGTTTTATTTCAGTATCAATTTGGAACATATTATTGTTTGAAAATGCAATAATAAGAAAATGAATTAATAAAGAAGTCATCACAATTCATTCCATTTTATTAATGCAATAAAAGTACAACATAATGGAAATATCTTTGAGATATCTTCCTCATAACATTAACACAAAATGTATCACAAAAAACTGGAATCTTTATGTAAGTTTTGGAGGAAGAAGAATCATACAAGAAAATTAGTTTCTTTCAAGTTCATTAGGGACATTTTAGGGTCATTATTCCCAACTGAATGTATCCATAATAAGTGTGTCTCTCTTCCAACTTCACATTTTTTATACCATCTCCTATCAAGAAATGGCATTGTTCCACAAAATGTTATGAACCTTTACCTAAAATTTTGAGAAAATAATTCAAGCTGAATGTAATACACATTATTTAACAAACCTCTATGTAAGGATCTCAGTAAGGACACTTATTTCAATTATTTCCATGGTCTTCCTTCCTGAAAAATAATTTCATATAGAGAAAATCCTAACCATGGAAAATATTGGGACACAAATTTGTTTGCATGATTTGAAATTCAATATCATTTTCAATTAACATTTTGAAAGAGCTTTGGATTCATATTCAACTCCATGCTGAACAAATTTATTTGAAAAATCCTTTGGAAAGTAGAAGTTGATTGCCTTTTTTCCCAAGACTCCTTGCTACATGTAAAAATGAAGTAGCAAGTATAAGTAAAATTTAATAAACTCACCAGTGTTCCTGAGTACCATGCAATAGCTAGTTGTTTACATTGAGTTCATTGGCTTCCAAACAAAAAACAAAATAGACTGATATACCCTGTAAAATTAACTTCAATTATATAAAGGAAGAATGATTTTAGAGGGTCACTTTCCTTCTTTTAATAAGCAGGTAGCAGAACTATTGAAATGGTTGTGGTTTGGCTGTATAATAGATCATTGATTGATCTACTCTCTTTTTTCAATTTTCACCACTTCTGTTTGTTATATATGCAGCTTCACATATTCCAAGTTTTCATTCCTGAAATTTCATGTATTTTTTACCTGTGTGTGTGATAGATCAAAAGTGCACCTTCCTACCTGTCAATATAAGTCCCTATAAAATGTGTATACAAAACCGTGACATGCCTGCTTCACAGGGACATTCACATTGCCACAGCTCATCATTTTCCTTTGGAATTATCTGAATCTCATGTGGAGGCTGCCAAACAGGCATTTCATAACATTTGTTTGTTCTATATCCACTCTTGACTCCACACAATAATATTATGATATTTATGATGTGACCAGCCTTGAATAATACTACACCATATTATTATACAACCTCTCACACTCTTTCAAAGATATCTTCAGTCTTCTTGTCACCCTGTTTTCAACTAAAGTCTAAAATTCGCGATTCTTTCGAATTCAAATTCAAAAATTTTTTCAATTCATTTGACAGTGACACAAACGAAATCTACAATCACGTGGTGGGGAAACACTGACGTCACGCCCCTCCGCGCACCCCCGCACCATAATGCTATACTATGAGGTAACCTTATAGAAGTTAATAGACCTTGGATATGGCTATGGTCCCTTGATGCAAACTGACGTATGTCATCTAACAGGGTACGGACAGATCATAGCTCCTTTCTCTTTTAATCATCTAGTGACTTTGGTTTCGTGTATTGGCGTCCCTGACATGACATTGCTGTAACGTCACATTCATTGGCTTTAAAAGAGAAATTTCAATTTCATACTTTATCTTAATACTACATTATTCAATTCTGTTTTGGAAAGATGGTAATATGTGCTTCGTTAGGCAGTATCAATCAGTTGGATGGCAAATTTGAATTTGTCAGCTTTCCATCAAGTGCAAATGAACTTAGAACATGGAAAGTGATGTGACCGAATGGGGAAAATTGGTAAATACATCAGCAAAATATTCGAGGTAAAACTAATACGAAATCACATATTATACTTTCTCATTGTGCCTATAATTATCCACTCCACAAGTTTTTGAATGCATTTTAGTAGACAGTTTCAATTGAAATGGAGGATTAAATGAAGAGGCATATGCCTTACCATTTAAAAAATTATACCTACATTCAGGAATTATTAAGTGGTCGTGAAAAACTGCAAAAATGATTCCGAACATGAATATATACAGCACACAGACATATGAGCACATTACTTTGAATACCTACATGAAATTTCTCACCATTTCTCAACCATAAGGCTCAGTCTAAAATAAAATCTCATTTATTGATAGGTACTGCCTAAAAACAGTCCCCTTTCGTAAAACGTATTAAACTTTCAGAAAAATTTTCTCGCTGCCTCACAAAGATTATGCTAGAGTTGAAAAATCAAAAACTCGAAAATTATCATCATCATTTGCATATATGTAATACGTGGAGTTGAATGAGAAATTACATGTGGAAATTACGTATGATACGCCAATGTCCTAAATATAACCTAAAAAACAACAAATGTCCGAAATTTAGTGTTGATCCCCAGAAATGAATAAAGATGGAACTATATAACTGTTTCACAAACACGTTAGAGTGATAAGAGACGAGGATCTGTCCGTACCCTGTTAAGATGACAAATACGTCAATTTACATCAAGGGACCCTAGATATGGCTACATCTACCCCGTGGAGCAATAGTAGAGCCATGCACACAAAAATACAAACATATGATTTATAGCATTTGGCGCCACGAATCTTTTCGAGAGTGGTTGAGAAAGGGCCTGCAACGCCAACATGAGTGAAACGTTTCATTTGAGATATTTTGGCGGGGGTAGATTGCCCATAAGAGGTTGAATAGACTGGATTCACCCTAAAACAACGGTAGCATTGGCAACAACTTAACGTATAGTTTACTTTAGGAAGATGAACCAATAGCGCTGAGCTATCAAATTTTGGAGAGTTTGAATACCTGGGTGTACATATATTTTTTGTGAGTGAATTCAATAATGAGCAAGGTGAGACGATGCGTATTGGGTAACAGTGATGGGTGTTTCTGTTCGAAAGGTAGAGTAGAACGTACCAACCGCCCGCCCACCCTGAGAATTCCGCCTTCATCAAGAAAAGGGTTGAGTTTTCGGAAACTCTTAGGGCTTAGGGAGAGTCCTTTTTGTTGTTAAAAGACATATATCATTGGCAAACTCATTCGTTTGTGCATGTTTAGTGAGTAGACTCAAGGAGTTTTCCATTTCTACTTGAGATAGAGGGTCATAACATCTAGTAGATGGGTACCTTATTTTTTTGATAAATCAGTTCAAATACCCAATTACCCTTGAATTATTGGCAGAAAAAAGAATAGATTGAGAAGTTGTGTCGGTGGGTGTGATCACTTGTGAAAATGAGCGCAATATTTCTTTTTTCTTCTTCCGTTTCTGGAGAGTCATACTTTGAAAGAGGCCATTTGGATGAGGGTAATATTAACCATGGTGGTCCCGCCCACCATTGGGAATTATTCAATAAATCGAAAGGTATTAAACTTCTGGGAGCGTGATCTGTAGGGTTTTCATCCGTAGTAACGTGATACCAGACAGAAGGGGCTAGTTTTTCTTGTATTTGAGAGGTTCTATTACAGATAAAAGTGGTTCTCGTGCAGATTGTCCTTGATGAGATCTTGAACAAAATACATTAACTTCGCCAATAGAAATGATGCACATAATTCGAGTCTGGGGATGGATGTATTTTTCAGAGGGGCCACTTTTGACTCCCACATAAAAACCGAGTGAGAATATCTCCATTTCTGTCTAGATATCTGTGATATAAGACACTTCCATACCCCTTCTCAGAGGCATCACAGAAAATTCACAAGTTTCAAATTATAGCTGAGGGTAGTACTGAAACCATTATTATTTTTCGCGATTTTTTTTCTAAAGTACCCCCTACACCCCAATTTTTTGAAGACAAGTGGAGATGGTGAACAATTCTAGGCATGTCACATCTTTTTGCTTTCGATTTCCAATGGGGTGAACGATAGGCACTCTACTAATTAATCTTTGGAAGAAGTCCATGGTAACTCAAAGTGGAGTGATGTAGCTCATAGATGAAAACCCGAAGTCATCTCCACAACATTTATTAGAATGGTCAAAGATCAATCTTAAAGGAACATGTTTCGGGCTCATATAAGCCCATCATCAGCCAATAAAAAATATCATAGTTCTAGAAAAATCAGTGTTGACTTAGGATATAGATGCAAGAGTTACATAGTACTCACATGGAAATGAACAAAGTAGGCATACAAATAGTATAGTTAATAACAATGCAAACAAGGAAATATGCTCCATGATCTGGAAGTTATTAATTCAGAATATTCTTACTTTTTTCATTTCCATGTATGTACTAAGTTATTCTTGCATCTATATCCTAAGTCAACACTGATTTTTCTAGAACTATGATATTTTCTATTGACTGATGATGGGCTTATATGAGCCCGAAACATGTTCCTTTGTTAAGATTGATCTTTGATCATTCTAATATATGTTGTGGAGATTACTTTGGGTTTTCATCTATGAACTCTACTAATCGTCATTCAGTGATAGACTGGCAGGACTATTTCTAACCTACGTTTGTAGTTCATAAAATTAAGTGGAAACAACTACATTGATCCATTATAAATATTTTATTATAAAGGAACATCAATAGTGTACCATCTTTCAGCGTTAACATTAAATAAAAAAATCGTATATACATGAATAAGTCGGAAAACCGAGATTCGTCATCCTAACATGTCAAACTTACATTAAAAATTAATCTATATTGTTGGAATTACACTGATACGATAATAAATATTTCACTTAATATTAGCTTTCTTACTGGGACTGTGCTTGCACAATTTGCAATCGTCAACGCCAGAAGACGAATCAGAATCAGAGCCGGAAGAAGAGGAGTCTGACGATCCCGAGCCTGAGTCCGAGCTTTCTGATCCAGAATCCTCCGAATCATCTCGAGGAATGAAACTGATATTTTCGTAGCACATCGTGTGGAGGGGTAAGTTGTTTATTTCAGTTGGAGTGAAATCCTGGAAAGAAAATGATCCATATTGAATTTGTTTTTGGGGCCCTACAGTGCGAACGAAATACAGAAAAAAACAAGAGCTGAATGAGGCACAGTTCCACCAATAGCATTGATCATGATTAGCTCTAAAGTGAGGTCCCAGGTCAACTTTTGACTACACTTCAAATCGTGATCAATTGGACTAAGTGAAAATATACCATTTTGGGCGCATTACACAGCAGAAAAATGATCAAATACTGAAATCCTATGAGCCTAACGAAAATCATCCTGAGAAATCGGTTCCTGAACAAAAATAGAAATACATTTTTTACCCAAAACCCTATTCCAATCGAGTCATCACTCGTTTTATATTTGTCTGTTTTAGGTTCAGATATTTTTGGAAAGGTAAGCGATAATATGGCATGTTTTCAATTCCCATTTGTTCTTCCAAACTAATACGACGAGTGTGGTGTGTGAGAGACAGAAACAGATGACACTAGTGAGGCTGGAGGTCATGTAAGCTGTCAATCATTTTTTAAATTGGACTTGTAGATAACAAAATGCATTTATTTCATCACGTTACTATTTCAGGTTGTTTGTGACAGGTCAGAGCATTTATCATGAGTTCATGTAGGATGTGAGAGCAGGCCAATTGATTAAAACCAATGACTAGTTATTCATTGATTTCAAGATTTTAAATTACACAGATCAAAGCACATATCTAAATTAACATTGCGATTAAAATTATTTGACATAATAGAAACAGAAATCTCGATATTTTATGTTACAATATATACAATATATATATACAATAATTAAATCGCTTGATGACAACAAAGAAACTATAGGAACATTTCTAGATTTGAAAAGGTCTTTGGATACAGTTTCTCATGACATTGTTTTTACAAAATTACAAAATTGTGGCATAAGGGGTAAGAGTTTCGACTTATTAAAGAGTTATTTATCGGACAGAGAACAATTTGCGAAATTACGAGATACTTTTAGCCAAAAAACACATCTTATTTGTGATGTTCCTCAAAGAACTGTTCTAGGTCCAATTCTTTTCCCCATTTATATTGATGACATATTAAAAACATATATTGATGGACATGTTTTCTTATAAGCTGATGATACATTGAAAATTGTTAATGGACATTCTTGGTCACAAGCTGTATTGTTAACTCTAAATTTGAATAGAACTGAATTCGTGACTTTTTCCTGTTATAATAATTCACAACCAAAATATTTAACAAAATTGACAATTCATGATCAGAGTTGCTCTGGAAAATGTATCCAAAATACCAGTAATTTGTTCATGTACTAATAAAATATCTGAAGTAAATACAATCAAATATCTTGGTACATACATTAATAAAAATTTGAAGTGGAATTATGTCTCAGAACAAAGAAAATCAGAAGTACCCTTCCGAAATTCGGACTTTTGCGAAATAACGTCAGTAGACATTTGATAATCATTTTTATCGCACTCTCTTCCATTCTATATTATCGTATGGAATAATTGGATGGGATTGTTATGGAACTCAACAAAAACCTTTATTATGTATTCAAAAATATGTTCTGAAAATAGTATTTCGTATTGTGAATCGATTATTTGTTTTCAGTTTCAGTATTTATATTGTGAAAAACAATTTTGAACGTGAAATAATTCACCTCTTTCACACACAGGTCACTATCCTATGTAAAGGAGATACAATATGACATGTATACATGTAATTAATATTCAATGACAAAATGTAGATTTTACTGGATTCAATAAATGAATAAATAAATAAATACAATATAAAAAAGTTACCCTAGCACATTATTATTATTATTATTATTAGCAGATACTATACTCATCAGTATAATGAATAATCTCTGAATATGCTATCAAGTAAACTACTCAACAAGCACGTCACTCCAGTAAGAAATACATGATACAGATAAAAATTAGGAGACTTTTAATTGGTATCGAATCTGAACCTTTGAGGTTGACTTGTAAAGTATTGCATTGTAAAAGTGAATATCTGACCGTATAAAGAGGGAATCGAATCTGAAAAAAATGTGAAATGCTGGGAGTGACATTATGCTTAGTTTTCCGAAAAGATGGTGACAATGTTTACGACAATAGATATTATTCTAATAGCCTTTTTAGAAGCCTGAAAACTCTAATGGCATCGGTCGAGCCTCCCCATATAACGATGCTCAAAGAGCTAACTGAGTGAAAAAGAAACAAATTGATAATTTTCGAAGTTCTAGACAGTTATCCTGCTTTGTACAGAGCTAGTTTCATAATTGTGAACCCCCCTTTATCTGTTTTGTTTTCCACCTATTTAAAAAATTTCAAAACTGATTTTATTCAATAGTTTTAATGACTCATTTTTGTGCAAAACTCTTTCTCATTTGAGCCAGTTTTCTCAGAACGTTGATAATGTCACCAGTTCTCGAGAAAGTGCGTGTATAAATAGAGTTGGCACACCCAATATATTCCTGTATACCCTGTTTATTTGAAGAGATAGTGCAACACTCTGTCAATATGATTGAAAAAAGTATGGAAATTTGTAAAAAAATCATATTTGAATTTTCTCGAATGGATGAAAAACAAAGATGAAGTAGGGTTCACATTAATAAAACTAGCCCTGTACACAACAGATATAAATTATGATTCTTTGAAACTATATTACAGTTTTTGTGATCATATTTTCCCGATAAATTGTCAGAAATTCGTAAGAGTTATGACGATTTATCAAGTGAGCGTAGTCAGCAATGAGAATGCAATTAAGGCAAGTAAAGAAAAAAATAGAGAGATCATTAGATTATGAATAGGAGTAGTGGCAAAACAGGAGTATTCGTCTCAGTTTACCAGGTACAATGTCAACAAAGAGAAAAATGTTTCCCTGATTCTGTAATAGTTGAGTTTTCTGATCAGAATATCAAAAGAGAAACAGTCGATGGCCTTGGCGAGATCACCCTCTTCTACACTTTTTTGTTCACTAATTTTTGCACAACCTGTATTGTGTTTGTCTCCTACTGAAGTATCTGAATATTTTCTAATAATGTTATTATGCAGGTTATGACAGTGGACTGATATATAGAGTTTTTTATATTATGAATGGCTGCAAAGAATTATGCATCCACTACAGGTTCCAAGAAAAACGAGCTTCAATTTATTCATTGGTGCATAATAGTGCTTTAATGACATTTCCTGTTATATCAAAAATCATGTTGAAGCAGTCTGAATATATGTCAGAAATAATGCCACAAGTACTTTATTTTGCATTTGAAGTAAGAAAGTTGTTCACCAAACATTAAATAATAATCATAATCAGAATGCCTCAACATTGTATTGTGCCTTTTTATTTGCCAATAACATCTCAAATAATCATACAATATTAGAATATTACCCCCATCCTCACTGATTCCGCCACACGGTTGTAATCTCGGATATTCTTGCGATTGTGTGTTATATGCAAGGTGGAGAAAATAATGAATTTCAGTGTGTAACAACTTGGCCAATAAATAATATGTTTTGAAGTTAGAGTCACATTGTGTTATAAGGACATATGTATAATCTTCTTGAAATTTCAACTTGAATGAGATTTCATATGAATTTACCTATACTTGAAGGAAAGAGCTAAGAAACATCAATAAAAAAGGTTATCTGAATCTTAGGTCATCATAAAATGTATAATCAAATTCTCTGAATATTCCCTATTTAAGTGACTTTTTATCTTTCATATCAACAAAGTTACCTTTGCAATCTGGGACACACTGTATATTCATCACTGATATCGAATTCACATACATTTCTACTATTTATTTATATTTGAATTAAACCATATCAACATAAAACACTAGACCAATAATATTGTTATTTTGATGCTTACCTCAAAGTAATCTGTATATTGCCCAGGCACGACTGCAACAGGATAATTTCCGACCGGGGGTTTGTTGATTTGCTTCATCCGTCCTTTGGGGTAGTGAACAGTTAGGGTTTGTAAGTCCATGCAAGCTCGTCGGTCATCTTTTCTATTCTGCAGAAATATTCATTATTTGTACAATATGCTCACCACTAGTTCAAAAATTGCAAAATCCAACGACCCGTCAATCAAAACCAATAAATAAATTAGCGGTACGCAGTTCTCATAAGCGACCATATTTTCTGTGCGTGTATACTATTTTTTGAAATATCATTTGTGATTCAACTAAGACCGATGGACCGAATTTGGAATAAAAACTGTTTTTGTATCGAATACAAGACAATGTCCACATATACAGGTGAAACATCGTCAACGGAATTGTTCAATTCAGAAGTATTGAATGGAAAGTGGTCTATGTCAGGAGGATGTAATTCAATGTTCTGTGTGGCATTAGCCAGAAAAGTAGTTGTTTCTACCAACGAACCAGTTCCCATTTTCAAATAAGGGTTATTTCTTCATTTACCAAACTGACAAAAACTTACAAAGAATCCAGAAAACTGAAATATGATTTATATGTATATATGCAATAATAAAGCTGTATATTTCATATGTAGTTTAAGACAGTTTCAGATACTATAGACATTGAGTATCAACTTTCAGGCAAGAAGGATCACTCTCCGGGGCGCCACGAATACCTCCCTTCACGCTCCCCCACCGATTCTGGAAGATCGGATACCAAGCGTACATACCGATTGGCACACGAAAGCCTCGAGAGCGGCGAATGGCAGCGATTATATCAAGTATACCGATTGTCCCGACATGAAGGTCTCGGTTCCCTGGTTATTTTGAAAAACTCAACTCAACAAACTCAATTGATCAACATGGAAATCTGTATTTTCAAATACGAATGAGTAATTAGTAAATATAGTAATTTATTACAAGTGAAAAAGTATCAGATATTTTTACCGTGTACCTATAATAAACTTATTTTTTTCTGTGATGAGAATAACGATGATTCAATAATAATTTGAATTTATCAACTGGTATAGGTTGTTGTATACTTATCAACAACGAAAGAGCCAAAATGCTCAAAGTGGAATGAAATGTTGAATAAATAGATGCAAAACTCAAAGTAATTTCCACATATGCACAGAAAATAAACAATGGTAGATGACGAGAGAAAAACTTTTCTTGATTAGTGATTATCAAGGGTGGTCCTAAGTTGAATATCTAGGGAGAGTAATAGTCATTTTATTATGCTCTGGGAGGGGAGGGGATAATTACCCCCTATAATACCCCCGTAGGATCATCCTTGATGGTGACTATTTCACTTTCTTAAAATTCTCACATAATCCGACCTATCACAAGCCAAAGAAACTTGTATTAACGCGAAAATACTTGCCGTCTTTCAATTATGATTAGTCTATCAGCGTTGGGATTTTCAACGATGTATCCAAGAATAAGGAAGCAAATTCAGTAAGTTTGACATAAAATGATTATAGCTGTAGATGTCAGAATGAATCGCATTATGAAAAACTTTGAATAAAATTATTGTGGAAAGCACCGGTTATTTCGAATATTCAGAACATCGTCTATTATTGTTGATAATTGATAATCAATACAATTCGAATAAGTAGATTGCTCGGTAGAAACAAATAGCAGAAGTTGCGAAGAAAAATCTCATAGGTTTTTTGAAAAAAAAAAACAAAAATCAAGCCAAAAATATCTATTGATGATCAGATTTTCAAAAATTATTAAATTGAGAAATTATATGTATTTGCTTTATAGGAGTTTATCATACCAATACAAGTTATGAGTCTTTAGTTTTTCTCAAGTAGAAAAGTTCCCATCAACGTATTGCATAAAATGCATCCTGTTTGAGCTACAGGGTGTAGAAAGTACGAAAAGAATTTGAATTAGAAAACATTTATTCACATGAGGGTGTGTTTTTTACATTTCGCTGAAAGTGATTTTCTTCAGGAAGGTAGGTGTCGTCAAACTGTCAAGAAAATGAAAATGAAGAAAATACTAACTTTTCTTTATATGTTCTAAGAATTTATTTCATCTTCCAGAAAGAGTTAAACTTAGGACATTTAAACCTATAGCTGTTCCATCAAGAAATTTGCCAAAAGTTGATAATAATTCAAGTTCAGGTGTGATAACATACTGGATAATGAAATAACATAAACAATCAACTCTGAATTTTCTAGGTTTATCACCATCTGTTAGTGGAACATTAAACCACTTTGAGAATTACAGGTATTGCGATAGTCTACAGAATTCTGACATGGTGTCTTTATATATGCACGACTTACTCGCAAGGTATGATTGATGAATCAACCTATATACCTTTGCACTTGAGCCACTAGATGGCTGTGAAGGCTAGATCGTCCTTCTGCCCCCTCAGGGCTTCGACTTGTTTAATATATAGAGGTACCCTTCGTGAATCGATTGTCAGCTGGCCAGTGCAACTGATGAGACTTATGGCAAGTCGAAACAGTCTGTCTTGCATCAGCTGACAATCGATTCACGAAATTTCCTAGAATCTCTTAGTCTTGAGATTCTATGTTAATTATCAACTCTGAATAGCCCACAAAAGATATATCACAATAAATCCCCACAAATCAAAAATGAACCTCGCTTCTTTGCATGCTAAACTCGAAAGTAAACAAAATTTAATGGCCCATAGCTAGCTTTCAACTCTCACCAGCAGCGCTGCGATCTTAACCCGAGAAGAGTATAAGTATGCCGTGAACAAAAAAAGACAGGTAGTTGTCTCTCACCTTGTTGAACCTGGCATTCCACAGCGCCGCAGACTGCACGGCCTGCTTCAAAATATCTGCCTTGTTCTTCTCCTGGCTGGCAGCCAACGAGAGCGCCCGCTGCTTCGTGATCAGCTCCTTCGCCTGCTTGTCCCTGAGGTGCTTGCAGTACTCCTCGTACTTCTCTTGGAAGTCCGAGTACATTATGTCGAGTATGTCGGCGCTGTTGACCGACGTCAGGCCCAGGTCACACATGTTCTCCGACACGAGGCCTTTTTCGCGGACGAAGTCGCGTTCTTGCATGTCGAGGATGCGGCGCGGAATGTTCGGGTATTTGCGTTTGAAGGATTTGATGCCGAGGAATTGAGCGACCTGATGAGAATGAATAAAAGCTGAAACTATTTTTCATGATCAAAAACGTCATTAATTGCCTGATCAAATGGTATTTTTTCGATTATTCTACTCATTTCAAAATAAACGTTTTTGGTTGGTTGAATTAATATGTGTGTTCATAATCGAAAACATAATGTTTCTGATTTTGTATTTCTCTTCTTCATTGGTAGTTCGATCTAATATAAAACAAAATGTCATAGAAATAGCAGGCTGTCAAGGACATTGATCTCATAATATATTCATATTCAGGGATAAATAGCACTCAACACTAAACTTCAGAAAAATGGCGATAGGCACTGAATTTTAATTTGTATCGAAGAATTCTAGTATGATCGGGATTTCAAAGAAACATTTTCTATATCCACTTAGCCTCTCACAACTTGACACTAGCCTCTAGAGACTGAACGCATCAAATATTTTCAAATACAACTCGTTTCATTGCTGATTATCGAAAATCCCTACTGTTTTTGCTTTTAGCAACATAATTTGTTTCTCAAAATCGAAAGGACTTGTATTTTGATAATCATCAATACACTTGATGTATTACATACGAAAACATGAATCCGAAAATTTTCAGGTTTTTTGCATATTTTGACCTGAACCGGTCCTGCTACGAGGCAGCAAACTTCAGATTCGCTTCCTAACGCCTAGAAACATATAATCCCGTTGAAAAACCTTCTACCGGATTCAAGTTATGAGACCAGAACTATTGAACACCCTTTGAAATTTGAAATTATGGAAAGTTGACACTCGGCATGTGCCATGTACACTGATTTCTCGAGAGCTTTCGATGTGCATCCTCCTACCCTCATAACCAAACTGCAGAATATCGGTGTACCCGGTCATCTGTTAAAACTCCTGGCTTCCTAAATGAAAGACAGGCGCCAGTACGTCGTCGTCAATAATTTCAACTATAATGAGTCTCTTATTACTACTGCGGTCCCCCAATGCTCCAACTTATGCCCCCTATTCTGTTCATCGTCTTCATCAGTGATGTAGATGAATTCATGGAATATTCGATAGTGGCAATTTACGCTACCATATTGTTTTTTTTTTCAAGGAACTACAATCATTGTCTATCAAATGATCTCTTTTTGAATCATCCTCGACAAAAAATAACATTCAATTCATACTTATACAATATATTTCATAAAGTTGGCATCATATGGGAAAAACTTTCAATAATAATTTATTTTGAAATTCGACTTGGCGTTGCTATGCTTGGAAAAGAATATTGTCTGCTCGGTCGGGGTCATGTGACTTTCGCTACATTTCAAAAGTGAGATATTTTCTAATTAATCGCTGAAAATAGGCCTATTCGTACTAATTTCAAAAAAGTTTATTGAGAAAAGTTGTAACAATTTCAATTTTAGACATGTGTCTCGTATTTGAACGTTGTATTGCAATTATTTTTAGTTCTTGATATTTGTTTATTTCTTTTAATTGTACTTTCGAAAAAGATGTTCTAAGCTATGGTTATATACATAAAGTAGTTCGATAATATCTTGATGGATAACTCTGGCATAATTTTAGTACTGAACAAATCCATTTAAATAAACTTCGCTCCTGAATGTTTTGCACCAAACAACAGAAATTTGAAGCAGGGATTATTATTTTCTGAAGGAAATAATATTTTTGTCAATAATTTGTGTAATAGACCACTATGTATGTATATACATTAGACCATTCTGTATATTCATTTTCATAGAGATTTGTCCAGATAGTTGTGGATCCGGTAGGTAGGAACTGATAGGAGACAAAAGGGGGTTGTTGTGAGAATTGTCAAAAAGAGATGGTCAAGAGAAATTTCAGAAAAAGATGACCAAATAAAAGAACAGGAACTGCGGTATTGAAAAGCTGAATTCATACGACATTATAACCAAGGGAGTCCTGGAGGCTGAGTCCAAGCAGAAACTCCAGCTGAGATTGTGGAAACGGCTATTCGGTATTGAACGGTTGGAGCAAGATCTGATCGGCATCAACACTGATCTGTGGAAGGTACATTGTGAGCTCACGAACTCAATAATCTTTTGTCGTTCGTCATGTGTAGGAGGTGAATTAGGGTTAGTCATAGATAGTATAGGTACTGTATGATAATTAATACAGTTTAGTTACTGAAGTAGTGTATTTTATTCACTTATCTGCCGAACCTGAATGAACCCTAGTCGGGATACTACACTTGTTATTGATAAACTCAGAAATGAAAATAACTCGACAAATTCTTCTAACGTTTTAATGACTTTTTCTATCAGAAAATATATGACATCAACATTCTACAATTTTCGAACCGTCACCGTCATCAATAAATAAGGAGTGATAATAAACTATACAAAGAATTAATCATTCCCAACATTCTCCCCCCTCAACAATTTACTGAGTTGAGACATGATTAAATTAGATAAAAATCATAATGAATGACTCAATATCAATCAGTATATCCAAAACAAACGTATAGGAGATCTGACTACACGTCCTGCTTTGGTCACTATTCGGGTCTTGTCTTCTTTCTTGGGTCCATCTTCATCGTTTTTCGTATTTTGCTCATAGGTTTCTTTCTCTTGCTCATCTTGTGTTCTATAGTCAACTTGCAATTTATTTTTCGGTATCAAATCTTCTGAACTTCTGACTTCTAATGGATACAGTCGTTGGTAAGGACGTAAAATCTCACCATTCGCTGTTTTCACTTTCGCAACTCTCGGGATGTTATCTTTTCCAGGATATGTTTCTATTATTTTTCCTAGCGGCCAACTTGTTCTCTTCATATTATCTGCTCCGATGAACACGATGTCTCCAATATTCAATTCACAAACTTTGCTTTTACCAGTATTGACTAGTTCCGCCAGGTATTCCTTTCTAAAGCGGTTTCGAAAACTATCTCGTAACTTCTGTATGTATCTTCTACGTTTAATCAGATGACTCCTGTCGATTTCATCCAAATCGGACATCTCGTGGTTTGAAATATCATTAATAAACATTGCCGGAGTTAAGGGGTTCAAATCTTCATGGTCTTCTGATAAATATGTCAGCGGTCGAGCGTTGATAACTGCCTCACAATCACATAGTAGGGTTAGAAGTTCTTCATAATTGACAGAAGCTCTTCCTAAATTTTTACGTAACAGCTCCTTTTTAATGCGAACAATGCGTTTCCACCATCCACCCCACCAAGCAGCAGTTGGAGGGTTGAAATTCCATTTGATTTGCTTAATAGTTGAGTACTCCAAAACTCTATTCCATTCAATTTTATTCATCTGATTGTGAGCACCAACAAAATTTGTACCGTTGTCAGAGTAGATGATAGAAATTCTCCCTCTCCTGGCAATAAAACGCCTCAAGGCCGAAAGAAATGAATCTGTTGAAAGAGATTCAACTAACTCAAAATGGACAGCTCTGTAGACTGCACATGTATACAATACTATCCAGGATTTTGTCTTATTTCTCAAGTACAAAGGTCCAGCTAAGTCGATAACAACTACTTCAAAAGCTGCTTTGCAAGTTATCCTATCTTTCGGGAGTGGGGCGAACGGGGTTTCTATAGACTTCGAATTGTATCTTTTGCATATGACACATTTAGATACAATTTGTTTAACTGTTTGTCTACCTTTTAATATCACTCCTTACATATTTTGGAAAAGTGTTTTCTTATCAGTTCTCTTTCTTTCTTGATATTTTCCATTTCTGATCTATGAGGTCCTGTCACGGTCGCCAAAATGTTACTGATAAACTCAGAAATGAAAATAACTCGACAAATTCTTCTAACGTTTTAATCACTTTTTCTATCAGAAAATATATGAGATTAACATTCTACAATTTTCGAACCGTCACCGTCATCAATAAATACGGAGTGATAATAAACTAAACAAAGAATTAATCATTCCCAACAACACTTGTAACTGGGAGTTAGTATCATGATAAAGTTACTGGTATGAAACAGTTTTACCAGAGCTTAATTTCTTTCAATATTACAGATATTTCGTAGAAATTGAAGAAATATAAAAAACTAAAAGTTGCAATAGAACAATCGAATTCGAGACACATGTGTATAATTGAAAAAAAAAACAAATTTTCTTAGTACTCACGTCATCGTGAATCTCTTAGATTATGGTTGTGGGGATCCTCTGGATATTTTTTATCCAGAGCTGCAAAAAAATCTTTTTCATAACACCAAAAAACATTCTTTGTTTTTATTAATACGTGACTTTTTTAATTTATACTGATTTTTTCTTCAAATATGGAAATATTGACCTTCAACCCTTGATTGATATCGTGGGTTGTTTCCGAACCCCACTAGTGATAATCTTGCGAAAAGATCATAATCTCAATTAACTTGAAAATTTGTTGTGTCAATTATTCTCCTAATTTCGTGATATCTAGGAAATCTTAGTGATTTGTTTCGGAAAATAAAGAGTGATTGGGGTGTGCAAATTATATCGCTGTCAGTTTTTTTACTATGAATCTAATTTTTATTTCTTATCACAGGCGTCAATAGTGAGCTCTGAGGAACAAACCTGCAATAGTGACTACTTTCCACACATAATTTCAAGTGATTTTTACAGCCTCCAAATAATATGGATTTTTATTTTGTTCTCCTGTAATGCTCATACCAGATATTTCTTTTTCTGTTGATTCAAATATGAATCGAGTTTTTTTGAGTATCATAGTTTTTCATGATCAGATATGTTCACTGAATAGCAACATTTTTGAAAAGTCATGAGTTTTTTGATGGCACACAACCAAACTAAACAATTTCTAATGAAAACGACTGAGAGCCAGCGATCGGCAGACTTACGGTATTTTAAGTTAGGGTTACTTAGCTGTGTGCACGTGTAGATATACCAAAATAGTACAAAATACAACTTTCTGTACTATTTTGGTTACGGTATTTTAGCACTCTACATTGATGCTAGTTATACTATTTCACCTGCTGTAGGTGGAATGGGTATTCACTATCCTCGTCGACGATTCCGGGCTGCGATTTTACTAAATATACTGCACGCTAGCACAAACCACGCCCACCATAATAGGTCATATCTCCAAACATTACCGATATACTCGGAGTCAGTACATCGCACTAAATATACTGTGCTCCAACGCAAGAATACACTTTTTATGATTTTGACACGAATTCGACTGAAGCTCTCTCGTTGTCAATCTCTTGTACGCAGTAAATTCATACACCCAAATGGTCTACTGGATAGTGCTGTCGACTTTCAGTCTGAAGGTCCATGGTTCGAATCGCTGTGAACTTGAACTTTTTTTTGCAACTTTTTTTTTTCACCAGTTTTTTTACTTCATTCTGGTTTTCCTTTTTCATAAAATATTTGAAGTCAAATAGGTTAGTGCGTTTAGGATAAACAGTCTCATTTTATTCAATTTTGTTGAAGAACTCAACTTTTGAAATATATTATTAATCAATGTGTTTCTACACTCCATTCGGTTTTCCTTCCTCAAAAATATTGCAATCAGGGATAGGTTAGTTCGTTAAGGATAAATAGTTTCTGAGTTTTGCCTAAGTACTTCGAAGATGAGATATTACGGTGGGCGTGGTTTGTGCTAGCGTACAGTATATTTAGTAAAATCGCTTCCGGGCTTGTTCAGAAGTCAAAACACGTCAAAAATTACTTCGAAATCGTGATCGCAGCATGTCTGCCGATATAATATCTCAAAGTATATAAGTTTCCTAATGAAAAATTCAATAGCAGACACTTATGGCGAATTTATAAACAACAAAACTATGAATTAACAATTAAATTAGGAATCCAAGAAGCTGATTTGTTGAATTATTCGAATATAAGCTTCGGAATTCTTTGCCAATGGAATTATTCCCAAGAACTTATAACCTCCAAAAGTTGAAAAAATATCCAACACCTATCTCCTCTCCCTGCACTTTCTAGGTACGCGCGATGTTCCACGAACATTATAGAATTTTTCTTTCGTGCGCTCCAAGCGATAACAAAATCTTAAAAAGTTTCTCAATTTAATTGTTAATTCTTTATGAATCCACCATTATACCGGTTCAAATTATTATGTTTTATAGTGTCAAAACTCAATACTTTTAGTAAAAAATTGCGTTATTTCAGCGTAGCCATGGTTGCAAGCCAAAATTACTTCAAGTAAGATGCGACCACTGCACTCCACTTGGTCGAATAGGAATAATCAAAAATATCCTCATTTTGTTTAGATTAATTATTTTTCTTGATTGGATTCTGATCTATGCATAACCAAATTGGTCAATACATGAGTTTCTCATTACAAATATGCCACAGAAATAATTCCACCATTTATGCAAAAAGTGCAAGCATGTTTTTTTTTAGTTGAGGTCCATATGGGTGATGTGTGAAATCAATGATAAATTTTCCTCCGTGTATACGCTATATGGTGGTGTTATTCAAGGTAACAAATTTTGAGCCATCCAACATCGAAGGCGGTAGCAAAGCTTTGGCATCGTGAGGGTCATATAAAATTCCTATTCGATCGGAAAGAAAGACATCTGTTTCAATCGAACCTTCATTAGTATACGACAGAGAAAACATTAAATCGTCTGCCTGCATGTTGGAACTTGGAACCGACATATGTGTCTGCTTCTACAAATATATGTGTATAATAACAATATAAATAACATATATAAATTCCAGCTTTGCTGAAATAACCTAAATGTTTATGAAAGTTTCGGAATTCTGTTAAACATACTTGGAACCGGAATGAGTGCCTGCCAATGAACTTTTTGATAGTAAAAACTATTTAATTCAATTTTTGGTAGGAGTCCATGGTTGCTGAAGGGGAGTCAAGTATTAAATACTAAATGATACACGAAGTCATCTCCACGACATTTAATGTGATTATTGGTACATGTTTCGGACATATATATGTCCATCATCAGCCTTATAAGGAATTACATAATTATTGTCATGGAGATATAAAAAAGGTTATGTCACCAACTTTAACATTATGAAATTATTGATTTCGGTTTTAATGTAGAAAATTAAAATGGGAAAACCCTTCAAACCCACGGAAAACTACCATGCGATTTGTTGTGAGAACCATCAAATGGCACATATGGATGCGACAAATATTTAGTTCAACATATCAAAAGGGCAGACATGCTGCGATCACGTTTCTGAAGTAATTTTTGGCGTATTTCAATTTCTGGACCCGTCCAAAGGAACCGTCGGCGGGGATAGTGAATAGTATACCTAGCACCAATATGCTAACATATCTTAAAACTGCCGACCGTTGGTTCTGAGAGACTAAGAGAGTACTCTCAAAGATTCACTACTGAAATTCATACGTCAAGCTTCAACATTCCTTCTCCTAGTTATATTTTGATTTAGTGTAATTCCAGGATCATAATAAATACACATAATCACATTCAACATATAGGACGCATCGTTTTCTGAGAAACACAAAATCCTGATTAGACTTCAGATGTTAATGTTGACAAAACAATAGCGCATTTGTGTATCTAATTGAAGAGCATCCTGTATGTTGGAGGAACAATGAATTAGAGAAAGAGAGAGATCCTATCAACTTGTTCTACAGATTAAAGAATGAATTATTTCAATGTCAAAAACACTATGTGCATACCTGTTCCTGTATCATGAAAGGACCATTTCCATTCCAATAATATTCAGTTAGAAGATCGGCAGTTATAACATCGGTCTCTGTTTCTTGAACCTCCAAACGCGGTGCCTTGCTGGGACGAGAAGATGGCGTTTTACCACTTTCTGTCGTACCAGTACTGTGGACTGAACTCTGAGATTCTTCAACCACCATTTCTGATGGAGCCAACATCTGTATATACAAAATAGCAATTTATTTGTAAAGTTGCAAAATGAGCGAAAAACTTAGCTTCTGCAAGTGTAAGGCAGAGAGCTGAAGTATTTGAATGGCCAAATGGTGGCCATAACAACACAAAGTTACATTATAAAATTTCTTATCGCAACTAGTGGCCATATGAACTCATGTCTCCGGCTCATTTATGATGTAAAGAAAGTATCATTTGGCATCATATCTTCAATTATTTCTTTGATTCCACATTATGTAAACTTCATTCGGTGGGGACAGCCTAATAAATAATTCTTCGCATTCTTATACAAATTGTATATCGAATCGTTACATATAGCGGTATGGATAAAAAGTTACCAGTATCACCATTTGACGTTAATGGAGTATGAGGTCTGTGTCCCAAAATTTTTTCGGATAGCCCTGAAGGCCGAGGCCTGTTTTTTATAATAGTTTCTGAGGATATGGTTAAACTTCGTGTATTTCATGTAGAATGGCTGAAAGAATAACTGGACTTCCGGTTACTGAGGGTTTCATTTCTGAATATTTTGGTAAGTTATATTGTCATATCTTTTTCTACTCACATAACTAAAATGGCATTTAGCGTACAGATATATAAACGCTAAATGATCGATTAATCAAGGATTGATGATCTGTAATTTGCTTTTGGGTGTATGATAAATTGACATTCATCATACAGGGGGTAGAAAGAAATTCTGAATTGAGACTCTATCACGAATCTGCGATTAGAGGTCTATAAAAATCACAAGTTTCCATCGTTCAAGTTTGAACCCCCTGATTGGGTATGAAAGTGTTGAAAAGGAATATTCTCAGATAAATTATGAACATACAAAAATGGATATATATTTATATAAAGCAATACATTGAGAATTCGCATTCTCTATGTGATGAGAATATTTACTCTTTCTCAGTTGATTCAATAGAAAACAACTACTTTCCTGGCTAAGGTACTGTGAGCGGGCTATAGTAACACGTGTTTTAATACGCTCTGAGAAAAGTTAAGTTTTGAGTGGTAAAAAGTGTGTAGAAAATCGTTTGTTTTTACGAAAACACTTGATGAAATCCGTAATTATATATTACTGATAAACCTATGAAGTGAAACATACGTAAGAAGAGTTTATGAAGAGTTTTTAGCTGTAATATTAATCCAATTCAACTTCATACTACGCGATCCATACACAACCCACAGTTTTTGCGTCAAAGATAAGAGCCGCGCAAAAACAGTGTTTTTGCAGCAGTAGGTTCTCTGTGCTAATTTGGACGAATAAAGTTCGAAACATGTCAGCTGTTTGTTGTTACTGCGGGTTATCTTTGAAAACAAGGAATGTAGTTAAATGCAACGAGAAGGAGTGCTTGAAATCATGTCATCCAGATTGCATGCCACAAGGTAAATTGCAAGTTAATTGGTTTTGTAGTAACCATGCAGAGCCATCGATGAGGGAACTTCTTCAAGAAATTCGGAAAGTTTTTGAAATGAATGCAGATATGGCAAAGTCAATTGAAAACTGTCATGATAAAATTGATGAGTGTAGTAATCTTATAAAAAAACAAGATTCTAAAATATCAGAATGATAATAAGAGATAATAATAAATTATAATTTTTAAAGAAACGCACCTGTTTGGCTGGCGTTTGTGCTCTGCTACTAGTATCTGCACTCATCCGAGTCTCCTCATCAACCATCATCACTTCGGATGGCACAGTACTACTTGTGACCAGCGGTAGATCCAGATTGGTTGTTGTCTCAGATGGTTCCAGTAGTGGTAAGATTGATGCGGGCATTCCTTGGTCTGCAGTCACCGGAGAACCTAATTTGTTTCATATTAAACACATACCAAGCAAAGTAGTTTCGGAATGGATGAGTTCTTGGATCATTCATTCACAGGAAAATATTCAAAATCCATCACGCAGTCACTAATTGAACTCTAACTATAAATTACAAAACATTGATTTATTGACTGAGAAGATTGAATCCAAGTAAAACAAATTACAGATGACAAAAATTGGCAACTTCACATCACACGATTTTCCTCGCAGAATGAGTATTTTCCCAATTTTTGGTTCAAAAGTTCACTCAAAAATGGAGAATGTACTTTTTTGAAACATACCAATTGGTGTGCTGTATCTCGGGAAAAATTGGCAGATTATCTTCCCCAAAAAAAGTTTGTGAAATGAAAATCCTTGGGTGATATAATATGTTGATTATGAATCTCTTTCCACAAAAAAACTTGAAAAAATAAAGAAGCAACATCGATTAATGCATCCATAATTCGAAGAGATCAGAGTTATATTCAGTTAATAATGTAGTAGATGGCATGGATTGAATTGAAAGTTTAGTGGTGAACTAATTATATATTTCTATAGCTCACGTCGATAGTATATTTTGCAAAATGAAAATGAAACGAAACCTTTAGTTCTTGAGTGAATAACAACAATAATATGTATAAATTATCGAGATTGAGGTTACAGTATCTTGGTGTTTGTGGCTAGCGGATCGGTTTCGGGCTGTCGAGGAAGGGTAGAAAACCTGTTTTTTCCTATGACGGGAAAAATGTTTGACATTTTATCTCTGTTGACAGGTTATAAAATGTCAGTTTTCATAATTTACTTCTTTCCCACGGGTAATTTCTACCGGATATATATCACATATATAGATATTGATGGCTCTTGTTGTGCTATAGTTCCGAAAAATAAACCAATAAAACCGTCTCCAAGAAAAAACTGCAAGTCCTCTTATCTTCCATTCGACTTCGCGTTACGTAAATTTCTTAACAATCACTAAATTCTCAATTTTTCAAAATCAAATCACAGAATTAGAGTGACAGATATTTGACTACTTCAATTGAACGATGAAGATGCCTGCAAAAAGATGCCTATAAGGCAGGTGTCATTCCTGTTGAAAAGTTCAGATTTCATGTCTATAATTTTCTGATTTCAATATAATGTAATATCTTCTCAATATAGATTCGTCCTTTTTTCCGGTCACAGAAAAAATTGGGGGTCAATATACTACTTTTTTCTCTTGCATAATAAATTACTATTATTATTTGAGCATGACGCAAAACACATTCGAACAACTCTTGTGGAAGAAAGCGTAAGTGTTGACGAGAAAGGAACGAATTTTTTTGGGGGGAAGTTGCAATTAAACCCCAAAAACAAGTGAATTTCCTTACTTCGTCAGTAAGCCGCTTCATATTTTTTTTATATTTCCGTAGTTTTCAATGTAGAGGACCATTCATGTTTCGAATAGGGGATTCTTGAAGATAGGATTCCCAAAACAGCTATTTCGTCAAAGAGTACAAACTACTTTGCAAGATCGAACGTTAATGATAATGAAAATGGAGACTGAAGGCGTGTGAAACTCACCTAAACTGGAGAAAACCTTAGGAGTATTAGAGTCTGCTTGTGATGGACCAGAATGTGGAGTTTCTTCTTCTATCTCTGGAGTTATTTCATCCAACACAACCGCGGTAGAATCCACCTCTACAGATTTCTCATCCCCGTGTTGATTATTCCCTTCTGGAACAATAATTTCTTCGGCAGGTAGCAGTTCCTCCACAGCTACAGATGTATTATTATCGATAACTTCCTCTGATTCTATCCGAGGGTCTTTGATAGTTTCTTCATCGACTGTTGAAGAAACAGCAACTGACTCTTCTTTTTCATCTGGTAAAGCAGAGCATTTCGCATCATTTATTAGGGTATGTTTGGAAGATTCTTCGGTAGATACCACGGGATGTATCACTCTATCCGGAGACCTTTCGAAACATACTTCCGATTTCTGGGAAACTTCATTGGATATGTCAGGTTCTTGAACGTATTTTGATACCGCTTGAGGTGAACTAGCTAGTAGATTCGAAGTTGAAGCCAGAACCTCTCTATTAGAGCAATCCAGGGACCTCCTCTTTCCTCTGGATTTATATTTCTTCTTGCCACCCCTAGTGGAGGGGGTAGCCTTTACTTCTACCACGTCCGGTTCTACTACAAGTATTACGTCATCACTATCATCGATCAATATGGTTAGGTCTTTGTCCCCTACTATACCATCAACTTGTCTTAATTCTGTTTCCTCCTGTGAGTGGCTTTTACCTTCTGGGTCTATTGCCTCTTGTGATTCAGCTTGTAGATATTCTCCTCGGATACTTGCGAATGGGGAAACTGTCGTGGTTTCCTAAAAAAAAATTGAGTTAGTATATTAAGAGCATAAACACAAACATAATTTAGGGACCTTTGGTGATAGGATAAAATAAATTCAATGGTAATTGAGTTCCATAGTCCCACGACATACATTTGTGTAGAACTCTTAATATTGGTCGGCAACTAGAATTGGGTTTATACATTACACTTTATGATGTACGTGATGGAGGGCTATGCTCTCGTGACACACACACAAATTAGCAGTTTCAACATTTGAAATTCTCAGATTATGTTGCCTCAATACAGAGTAAGTGGAAAGAATATAGAGCCCCCTAGCATATTGTTGCAACGGTTTATTGTCTTTCAATTGGGGTTGTATTGTATAGAAGATTTATTGCGCCCCCTTCAATTTGCTATACCCGTAGCTATAGTAATTTCTCTAGTCCCATATGCCTCAGTAATTCCAATTAGGATTCCACTTTGTAGAAAAAGTCCAGGGATTTCAGAAATTACATCAATTTCATTATATCACTTCTTTCAGTTTCACTCAATTTCATTTCGAAAGAATAATAAATAAACCGTTACATAATATAAGTGAAGAGAAAATTGTGATCTTTTACTTCAGGAAGTTAGCAAGTTTGATTTTTTTGATCGATATAAGTCCCTTTGATTCAGATCATGGAATTTTTGAAAAGCTGTCGATTTTAGGTATAATTTTTTTCAATATAGATGGTGTCTTCAGAATATGCATAGACTAACAAAGTACGTACGTAGGACGATCCGTAATGATAATTTTCTCAAAATGCATCGAAGTTGTTTTGAAGCAAGTATAAAAATACAATTCGTGAGTTCATGATAGTAGTACATTCTTCAAAGAAGATTGGGAAGGCCTATATCCCAAAGAAGAAAAAAGATTGTACGGTTCGCGAGTTTGGAATGAAGCATTCAAAACGTGTTGTCAACAATACTTTCTTCAACGAGATTTTAGAAATACAAAAAAAAAAACGGTTAGAAAAATAGTTAGAGTTTGAGAGAATACGATGTTGGCCGTAACTACTCTGATAGCTATTTATCGGTCAGCAACAGCGTGAAAAATATTCAGTCTACACGATCATAATCAAGTTTGTTCCGAAACAGTTTTACGTTTTGGAATATTCAATTTCTGAAATAGTGTTAGGGAAATATTTTCATCATAGATCTATGATTTCAGAAACTACAAAATTTTTCCGTTATATATAATCAAGTTTGTTCCGAAACAGTTTTACGTTTTGGAATATTCAATTTCTGAAATAGTGTTAGGGAAATATTTTCATCATAGATCTACGATTTCAGAAACTACAAAATTTCTCCGTTATATTGGGCTGAACTATACATAGAACAAAGAATGTTTTTGGAAGATTAGGGTGTACGCTATCCTTGTGTGTGTTATCAGCGTTATCAGTCCCAAACTTAGAGTGATTTATCAGAGACTTTATATATTGAAAGTGCTCCCAGTTCATCGCATACATCAAAGGCTTTGAAGTTGAGTTTCAATACATTAGTGGCTCATTAACAAGATTTAATTGGATCATAATGATTAAAAAAAGTTATTCCTATTGACATATTAGGATAATGATGTGAATCTTGAAAAGCAGTGACATAAATTAACTAATAATTCGTCTTTCCCGGTGAAAATGGAGTGTCACAATAACAACACTTCCATGAAATAATTCATGTGTTCTTCACTGTCTCTGAAAATATTATAGATTGCGATACATTCAACTCATGAAGACCTGTCATTAATGTGTTATTGTAATATTATAGGCTTCTGACGTCATAGTTCTATGAATATCAAATGTGGAAACCTCTGAGTATATTTCAATAATCTGCACCAAAAAACCTTCAACTGGATGTGTATCAAGCTTTAATAATGATGATTTCAACAATATGTCTTTTCGCTTTTATAGGTCTTTTGTTCATTGAACAAATTGTATGTGAAATTCACTACAATTACAAATATCATAACTGGATTCCACTTGACCAATCAAGAAACCAATGTCAGCTCACTTAACCAAAATAGAGCTGTGAACTATACAACTGAGTTCTCAATAAAGATGGGTTTCCAATGCAGCGTATTTGCTTTACGAATCACGCGTAATTGAGAATTGCTTATATAATTTTGGTTAGTTCCCAATGGAATTGCCTTTCACTTTTGCTTTAGTTTCCTTCAGATGAATTTTCATGAAATGAGCTCGGAACGCCTCAGTTTTATGCCCACGCTGTACTGAATGGCGATCAATGAAGTCCAAGTCGATTTTATTTTCAAAATAAAGGAAAAGTACATTCTGAATCTAGTCTGAATATAGCTTATGATGATGAATATAGCTAACGAATAGCTAACGATTAAAAAACGAATGTGAAAAAAATAACAAAAATAGAAGAAAAAGAAGACAACTAGGCGTCGTTGTTAGATATCATGAAAAATAATGATGATCAGATGATCACCTAACTAACTAACCAAATATAAACTGTAGACATAGGCTTACGAATTACTGGAGATCAAAAATCGAAACAAGTAAAACTGGTTGAAAAAACATACATAACCACAAAATCTGATCAGCTCTCGTGTGCCTGCCAGTATTTTGTATGGTGTGGACTGGCTTAAATTATTATCTACCAAAATACAGGGTGTCCTATTCAAATTTTAAAAAGTTGAGTGTATTTCCGGTTGAACCGGAAGTACATTATTTACAAAAACAATCACATCAGATGTATCTCGTGCCATTGTACTTGACTGCAAATATCCATAAATTTCGTCCTTTTCGATTCGATATTGACTTGGATCTATACTTCATCCCAACCCTGTATGTACATATCCTAATTCAATTCGTTTTCGAGATACAGGGAGTCAAATTTGATAAAAAATTATGTTTCATTCAATGACTAGGCAACCCCTAAACAGAAATTGGAAATATTACAATTAATTGGTAAGATTTCTAGTGGCACCGTTAGTAAGATAATTTACTAAACAGTTTTCAACAACGAAAAATGTTCATATTTTATTAAAAAAACTATAAAAGGCCATGTGATTTTGTACAGGGTGTATCCGTATATTTTGACCCCTATCAACAGCTTCAACTATACGAGGTGGAAAAAAACTTCAGACATGAAAGTTGTAGGGTTTCATCTGTACTATCTTTTTTTATCGCTTGGAGCGCACGAAAGGGAATCCCTATAATGTTCAAAGAACATCGTGCGTTCCTAAGGAGGATAGGGATAGGAGGTAGGTATTGGATTTTTTTTTGAACTTCTGGAGATTATATGTTGTTGGGAATACTTCCTCAGGCAATGAATTCCAGAGCCTAGCCGTTCTATGGATGAAGGAGTTTTGATAAAGTGCTGTTCGACATCTTTCGAGGTCGACAACGAAAGGATGTGATGACCTCGCTTGTCTAGTTCGTCTGACTGGTATTGCTAGTGAAGGGATGATAGCAGAGATTTCCGAAGAACATTTCCCGTGGAAGTATCGATAGAAAAGTGAAAGGTCGCCGACCTTTCTACGGTGTTCCAATGATGTCAAAGAGTGAGTGTGGCGTTACCCACCAGGCGGATGGCTCTTCTCTGGATGGAATCTAAGAGCATCAGCGTATGTTTTGGTGCTGAACCCCATTTGTGGGAACAGTATTCTAGAACAAGCCGTATCTGCGCTTTGTAGATCATGAGAAGCTGTTGAGGTGTGAAGTAGCTTTTGCGATGGATCTTTTTGTCACTCTTTAAATAAACAAATGCGTATCGTAAATCAGAAAAAAAGAGTCCAATTCATTTTTTAATAGAACACCCTGTATATTTTCAACTCTCAAGATATTTTTCTCCTGTTCACAAATATATATAGTTTGCTAATATTTCCTCAAGTCATTTTTCACTTACCTACCTATTCTAAAAATGTTTATTAGATGTAAATTAAAGTAATAATCAATTCATAGACTATGCACAATACAAGCTAGGCTTAGGTGACTGTCTATGAAATGATAATAATAAAAAAAATATATTATGTCAACAATATTACCTGAATAAAAGCTATCAATCTATCTATCTACTTATTCAGCATTGAATAATCTGTCAGCAAAATATATACAGGGTGTCGAAACTATTGGGACAAAGGCTAAAGGAAGTATTGTTTGGACCAAAAATGAATATGCCTCAATAAAATATTGCTGTGGAAAAAGATACTGGGCGTTAAAGATGAATGTTTTTTTTTTAAGTTTTTTGCTAATAATTTCACTGTATAATTATCAATTGTTTTCAAAATCGCCACAGAGATATAATTTTATACAGAGAAAACTATTTCATGAATTAATATACAATTTGTTACAGGGGGGGCCATGTGAATGATTCCTGATGATAAAATCTACTGATAACTTTTTTGGAGAAACTTTTTAGTGATTTTGATTGGAAAATATGACATAAACATCATTTTTCTTTGATATTGGTACTATTGCCTGAAAAATAAATTTTCATCCGTTTTCGAGAAAAAAGCAATTGAACAGTTGGAAGTCTCGGATGGGGATTTCAAATATTATGTCGTTCATGAAGAGAGTGCTTTGGCCTGCCAAAAAATTTTGCTGGTGGAGTTTAAAGTCAATACTTTCTCGATTGAAACGTCCTGTATCTTTCTCCACAGCAATATTTTATTGAGGCATATTTTGTCCCAACGCCATATTTTAGTCCAAACAATCCGCCCTTTGCCTATGTCCCAATAGTTATGACTCACCCTGTATATTTGTAAACAGAAGATCTCTCACAAATATTGAAAAAATAAAGGGTGTTTTATTTAGAAAAACTGATTTGGACCCTTATTTTCTTAATAATGAAAATGAAGTGGACAGCTCATATTGAACATTTAATTAAGAAATTAAGCTCAAATATTTTCCTATTGCGAAAATTGAGTAGATTTGCTTGCCAAATAGTTTTGAAAACAGCATACTTTGGTCTTTTTCATTCTCATATCAACTATGGCGTAACTCTCTGGGGAAACGCACTTGATTCCATAAGAAT